GGCTGGCAGAGCCGGGCAGGAGCGTCAGGCTGCGGATGTGGTCGCTCGCAGAGGTGGTCAGGTAGTCGTAGGACGCGTCGGGGATGCAGGCTGTGGGACAGCAGGAGAGCTGTCAGCACGCCGGTGGCAAAGGGGAGCGTGCCTGACCCCAGCGTGAGCCAAGGGCAGCCAAACTGAACATCCCCAGCCAAACGGGCGGGGAGAGAAGACCTGGGGATCCGCAGTCATGGGGAAAAAACAGCTGGGTGCCCTGACCACCCCACGCAGGGGAAGAGGGCTCAGGGACGGGTCGCATCGCGCGCGCGCACCCACCCACCGCAGCATCGCTCACCCATGCTAAGAGGGAAGGCGTGGAGAGCTGTCCACAGCACGGAGCGGGCGCTCCTCACGCTGGCGTCACCGCCACCCTTCACAAAACCCTCCTCCGTCATCCCCCGCGCCATGCACAGCACGACGTCGAAGAAGAGAGAGAGCTGGGGAGAGAAGGGACCTGCTGGGTGCAGGCAGGCCAGCCACCCTGACCCCCACCCTGCTGCTGGGTGCTCCCCTCCCGCCACCTCTCCCACCCAAACCTGGCGGCGTGGGGGTAAACGGGCCCTACTACAGAGGTGCCCAGCAGCAGCATCCCTGGGGCGAGGGGTCCCGTCCCCCGTGAGGGGCTGTCACCTGGATGGGTGGTGCCCCAGAGTCCAGCCCCATGTAGGTGCAGGCGTCCAGAGGAGGGATGACGTGAGTGGCCAGAAGCTGCTCAGCAGCCTCAGAGGAGAAGAAAACCACCCCACAGACCTGCCAGGGCACGGAGGGGTTGAGGCCACAGCCGTGGTGACACAAAAGGACGGGGCTGGCGGGGCCACCGATGCACGAGCCGTGCCGTACCAGCGGGACGGTGCCGTCAGGCCCGGCACACTGCTGGATCTGCGCCTCCGTGCCTTTGTAGATGATGTCGTGCACCAGCCCCTGGGAGCAAGACCAACCACCTCGATGAGCTCTTCGGGCAGCCCCGAAGCAAGCAGCCACGGCGGGGCTGGGCCCTCAGCACCCAAGGGGCTGAAGGGGTGGGGACCGCTGTGCCTCCAACAGCACCCCCATGCCTCCTCCTTGAAGGGGGAGCTGCTACCGACCTGCTCATCAGTGAGGTAGACCCCATGGTTCTTGGCATACGCCTGGCTCCCGGGCACCGCGATCACTCTGACCCCCTGGAAGCCATCCCAGTCAATCCCTGGGGAGAGGGACAGAGACCAGTGCCCGCTGGGGCAGTGAACGTACCCGCACTGGGCACAACTGCCTGAGAACTGGGCCTACGGCAGAGGCGGCGACAGCAGTATCCAGGCTCGGCCACCTTGCTGCGGGCACAACGGACGCTCCCAACCGCACAAGGGTCAGCAACGCCCGAGCACCCACACCCTCGCGGGGGCACGGCACAGGCTGAACAGGCTGTGCCCCCGCGAGCTCCGACCCCCGTCCCGAGCCAAAGCAGGCGCTGGAGGGAAAGGCTGGCACCCACTCACCCGGTGCCGAGGGCACGGTGAGGAGCATGTCAGTGCTGCAGACCCACACGCCAGGCGGGGAGCCCACACAGAGCTGCCGAGAGAAGAGCCACATGCCCAGGAACGCGGCGGAAGGGGCACCCAGCACCCTTCCCGCCCTGCTGGGAGCCTGCCGAAGGCACCCTGAAGGCTTCAGGGGGACCCGAACTCGCCAGGGTGCCCAGCATCCCACGGCACGAGCCCAGAGCCCCGTCCCGCAAGGCCAGACGGACCCGGTGTGTCATGGTCCCCAGCAGACTGTCCAGGTTGCAGACCAGAGCTTCGGCCGGGGCGCCAGGCTCCTCCACGGGCAGGCAGGTGAAGGCACGGCCGCAGTCGTCGAAGGAGAAGTCGCGGCCCTGGAGGGACGGGGAACGGCGGGGAGAGGGTCTCAGGGAGGGACAGGGGGTGGTGGTGGTGGGGGTGCTGCAGGTCCCAGCCTGGTGCTGGAGGGGTCCCAAGCTGAGCTCGCGGGTCGGCTCTCACCGTGTGCAGAATGAGGATGCGGGCTTCCCTCAGGACGTCGGAGGTCACCACCTGAGGGAGGGAAGGGCAGGGGACGCTCAGGGGGGAGCAGGACAGCCACCCCCGCCTCGCCCCCACCACCCCAGGCTGCCGCCCCCCCGCCCCCGGGCCCTCACCGTGCACCCCGCCCGGGCGCTGAGGTGCTCGGCCGCCACCAGCAAGGCGTTGAGGGTGGCCCCGCCGCTGCCCAGGCGGGCCCAGGGGTCCTCCACGGCCAGGAGAAGCGGCGGGGGCCGCGGGCCTAGGCCGCCCCTCAGCCGGCGGGCCTCCAGCTCTGCCAAGCGAGAGGCCGGCGGCGCTGAGGGCTGGCACCCCCCGCCCCGCCGCGACGGGGAGAGGGCGAGCGCCAGCCCCGCCGCTTGCCTCGCTGGAAGGCGGAGACGCAGCCGCCGCGCTGGCAGGTGAGGAGGAGGACGCTCCACTCCGCCGCCATCGCCCCCCGCCCAGCCCCGCCTCCCTCCCGCCCGTCCCCTGCCCGGTGGCCGCGGTGCCTGCTGGGACATGGAGTCCGAGCCCCGCCCGCCCGCCGCGGGGGGCTCGGCGCGGATGGACTACGACTCCCAGCGCGCACCGCGCGGCCAGGCCGCTTAAAGATACAGTGCTCCCCTGCCCCGGGCGCTGTCACCCCCCTCCCCAAAGGTGGGGGTTTGCAAAGGGGGGATGGCGGCTTTGAGGTTTTCTGCCCCAAAACGGGTCCCGGCGGCGGCGAGCCAACCCCCAAGTGCCCTGGGTCATCCCTGCCACGAGCCCGCCCCGGCCTCAGCCCGTCTCCCCGCCGGGGCTCCGCAGCGGGGTGGGGGGGTGCCGGTGCCCGGTGGGTGCCGGTGCCCGGTGGGTGCCGGGGTGGGTGGGTATCGGGATGGGCGCCGCGGGGTGCCGGTGCGCCGGGGTGAGCGCCAGGGCGGGTACCGGGGCTGCCGAAGCACCGGGATGGGCACTGGGGTGGGTACCGGGGCGGGTACCGGAGGGTGCCAATGTCCCGCGGTGGGTAGCGGCGGGTACCGGTGCGCCGGGGTAGGTACCGGGGGTGGGTGCCGGGGGTTGCTGATGTCCCGGGGTGGGTACCGCGGGGGGTGCCGGTGCGCCAGGGTAGGTACCGGCGGTGGGTACCGGGGGTTGCTGATGTCCCGGGGTGGTTACCGGGGGGCTACCGGTGCGCCAGGGTGGGTACCGGAGGTGGGTACAGGGGGGTGCTGATGTCCCGGGGTGGGTAGCAGGGGTTGCCGGTGCGCCGGGGCGTTACCGAGGGATGCCCATGTCCTGGGATGGGTACCGAGGGTGGGTACCGGGGGATGCCGGAGATCCCGGGGTGGGTACCGGGAGATGCCGGTGTGCCGGTGTGGGTACCGGGGGGTGCCGATGTCCCGGGGTGGCTACCGGGGGTGGGCACTGGAGATGCCGATGCGCCGGCGTGGGTACCGAGGGTGGGTACCGGGGCGTGCCGATGTCCCGGGGTGGGTACCGGGGGTGGATAGCGGGTGTGTGTACCGGGGGATGCCGGAGATCCCGGGGGTGGGTAGCGGGGGATGCGATGTCCCGGGGTGGGCACTGAAGATGCCGATGCGCCGGGGCGGGTACCGGTGGGTACCGGAGGAGATGCCGGTGCGCCGGGTGGGCTCGGCGCGGCCCCGTTCGCCTCCTACAAGTCCCACAAGCCCCGCCGGGCGGCGGGAGGCCGCGGACTACATCTCCCAGGCTGCCGGGCCCGGCCCCCCGCCCCGCACGGCACGGCACGGCCCGGCCCGGCCCCGCACGGCGCGGAGGGCGCGGCGCGGGGGGCGGCGGCGGCGGCGGCGGCGGGGCCCGGGTGTGCCCGGCGGCGGGGCCATGCCGGAGCCGAGCCAGGTACCGCGGCGGGGAGCGGGCCCGGAGGGGCGGGATGCGGGCACGGCCCGGGAGGGGGGAGCCCGTCCCCGGGGTGAAGGGGGGCCGGGGGGGGATCGTGGGTTGCGGCCGGGAGGGGCTGGCCGGGAGCTGCCCCGGTGCTGGGTGCTGGTCCCGGTGCTGGGTGCTGGTCTCGGGGAGCGCGTACCCGGGATGCACAGGATTCAGCCCCGGGGGTGCTGGCCCCGGGAGGATGTGTTGGCCCCGGGAGGATGTGCTGGCCCCGGGTCTGGGGTGCTGGCCCCGAGAGGATGCGCTGGCCCGGGGTGCTGGCCCCAGGTCTGGGGTGCTAACCCCGGAGGATGCACTGGCCCCGGGAGGATGCACTGGCCCGGGGTGCTGGGTCTAGGGTGCTAGCCCTGGAGGATGCACTGGCTCCGGGTGCTGGCCCCAGGTGCTGGCCCCAGGAGGGTGTGCTGGCCCTGGGTGCTGGTCCTGGGAGGATGCACTGGCCCCGGGTCTGGAGTGCTAGCCCCAGAGGATGCACTGGCTCCAGGTGCTGGGTCTAGGGTGCTAGCCCCGGAGGATGCCCTAGCCCAGGGTGCTGGCACCGATTCTGGGGTGCTGGCCCCAGAAGATGCACCGGCCCTGGGTACTGACCCCGGCCCTGCGGTGCTAGCCCCAGGGAGGATGCACTGGCCACAGCCCTGGGGAGCAGCCCCGGGAGGATTCTTGCCCCTGGTTGGGGGGGCTAGGACCAGGGCTGGAGCTGCCCCTCTCCAGCCCTGTGCCCCGACGGGGTGCCACGGGGCCCAGACCCCAACGGGGTGCTGGGGGCAGAGTCGGGGTGGCCACAGAGCGGGACGAGGGTGGGAGGGCTGGCTGCGGGTGCTCCCCCAGTCCCCACCAGCGCCAGCGTGCGGGTAAGGTCCCTCAGCAGCAGCGTGACACATGGCTGCGTGACACACGGCGTCCCTTGCCTGGGTAGTGGCAGCCAGGATTTCACAAACGCAGCGCGGGCGTCCCTGGGGACGGGGTAGGAAACTGTGTCACCGAGCAGGGAAATATCCCTTCGCTTGCGCCCGTGTGTGTGGGGTGGTGGGGGAACCCGATCGGCGCCCAACCCGCCGGGGTGTGCGCCCATCCTGGTGTTGCGGGGTGTTTCCCCAGCCCAGGCGCGGCTGCCGGAGCGGAGTCGGTGCCAGAGCCCGGCTCTGAGGGCCTGGCGAGGCGAGGGGGTCCCCACGCACAGCCGGGTGCTCGGGTGCTGCCGGCAGCGGGGGAAGGCGAGGTTTATTGAGAAGCTCCCCAACATATCCCCAGAGCGAGGGGTCCCTATCCCAGCAGGAGGATTTCGGGGTGGGGGGGGAGAACAGCACTCGGGCAGCGGGCGAGCTTGGACCGGAGCAAGAGCCACGTCCCCTCCTGCTGCGAATGAGCAAAAAACATGGCTGGGTGAAACCAAGTCACACCAACCCCCCAAAACTTGGTGAGCTTCCCCTCTGGGTGGGCTCTGTGCTGGCAGAGGCAGTTTTGCCCCCTGTTATCTGGGGGTCCCCTGCCAGGCCAGGGGTCAGGGGGTCCCCCATTTCCATCACCCCGCGAATCCCGGCCAGGGCAGCGAGTGGGGACGGGAAGTTGCTCAGCGCTTTGGGCTTGGTTTTCCATTTCCTTCCCCTTTTATCAGAGCCAGATGTTGCGTCCCCAGCGCTGAAGCTTGGGGCAGGTGGGGGCTGCCTTGGCTGCTTTGTGTGTGTCCCCCCCTCCCTCCCCAGCCATGGGCGTGCCTGTCTGTCTGTCTGTCTGTCCCCGTCTGGCAGCGAGCAGCGGCCCCGCTGCCGGTTGTGCACGGCAGCTGCCTGTCAGAAGCGTTTCCCTTCCCTCCGAGGAGCTCATGGCGGTTCTCGGGAACGGCAAGACGCGCTCCGCTCGCCCGCCTACGCCTCGCCGGCGCCGGAGGCAGGCAGGGAGAGCAGGCAGAGAGCAGGCAGGGAGAGCCCGGCAGCCGCACGCCGGGGGAACCGACTTGCGCTTGAATTTTCATGCCCAAACAAGCCCCAAACTGCCGCTTTTCGGCGAAAGGCTCCGGTGGCACTAAAGGTGCGATGGTTTCCCCGCCGGCTCTCGCCGCGCTGGATGCCACCCAGCTTGGCCCACGCCGAGGTCCCGGCAGCTTAATGGCTTTCATCTCCTCCCGTTGCATTTAATTCTTGCAAGAGTGCAAACTGGTAATTGCTCTCCAGCGGCTCGCTTTGGTGCTTCTCAACCAGCTGGGTTTTATTGGAGCTCACCAGTCCCCGGGGGCTTGGGATGCGGGGGGCGAGGCTGGGAACCTCCTCTCCCTGCCCTGCTCCGCATCGGGCTCCGGCGAATCTCTTGGCTCCGCGTCGCTCTTCGCCATCGGCATCTCCCAGAGTATTTTTAGGAGACTGCGAGAGGTTTGGGCCCAGGCTCCAGCAAAGTTCCCAAAGATACCCCTAAAACCGCACATGGCTGAATGGTGAATATATATAAACAATTTTTATATATATATGTATATATATGCATGTGTGATACATGGATCTTTATTTTTTTCTTACTGGATGAATTGTTCAGTGCTGGGGCTCTAAAATAACTCCCACAACAGTCGCCCTGGGGAAACCAGAGCAAGCTGCAGTCACTTCACTCCAGGTGCCACCATGTCCCCAGCAAGGGACTTTTGATCTGCAGCGGTAATTGGGCTAATTAGGAAAATGCAAATGCTCCCCCTATCTCCCTAAATGTCTGAGCAGAGCCCCAGCTAGAGGAGAGGAGAAGTCAGATTCCCTTGCCAGTGGAGCTGCTCTAATTTTACATTTAATGGGAGTCCCCGGCAGTAACTGGGCTGTGCTGGGTTTGATGGTCTCTGGCCGGGGGAGCCTTTTGTAACATCCCTGTGTTGCAACCTCGTAGGTACAATTTTCTTAACGAGTCCAGTGAGCTCTCAGCTCTGCCCCCAAAACAACACAAACCCCGGACGGTTTTGAGCATGCACTGAGTTTGCCGTTCTCTGCTCAGGCTGTGTCCTGGGGGAGAGAGGTGTGTGTGTGGGGGGGGGCTTTGGGTCACAGCACCCACCCACCAGCCTCCAAAGCCTTTGGGTTTCTGCTGCCTCCCATCCCCGGAGCTGCCGAGCCCCAGGGACAGCAAAGCTCAGGGGGGGCCCCCACGTCCCTGCTCGCCTTCCCCAGGCAAAAGGCCATGGCCGGCAGCAGCGCCGGCGCCTCCCCGGCACGGTGTCCGCCCATCCTGCGCTCCTGCACATATTTTCCCAGTGAGGCATCCAGCGTGAAGCTAACGGGCACGGGCTGGTAAAACGAGCTGGGGGGGGGGGGGGCTGAGCCGCGGGGAGGGGGGAAGCGGTTCCATCCCGGTGGCTGGGAGGCTGGGGGTGCTGCTGCCGGCGGTGCTTCGCTGGGTGCTGGCGTCGGAGGGTGAGCGGGGACCCTGCTGTCCCCCCCAGCTGCTAGCCAGCCCTGAGCCTGGCCTCTCGGCGGGACCCAGTGGGACCTGACCCAGTTGGCTTGGTAGTCCTTGGACCCAGTGGTACCTGGTGTGGTGGTCCACACCGCGGTGGTCCGGTGGTACCCAACTGAGCCCTGCGTGACCCGGTGCCTCGGTGGTACCTGAGCTGGTGACTTGGTGGTACCTGAGCCGGCGGTACCCAGTCTGGTGCCTCGGTGGTACCTGAGCTGGTGACTTGGTGGTACCTGAGCTGGTGACTTGGTGGTACCTGAGCTGGTGACTTGGTGGTACCCGGTTTGGTGGCTCGGTGGTACCTGAGCTGGTGCCTCGGTGGTACCAGGTTTGGTGGCTCGGTGGTACCTGAGCTGGTGACTTGGTGGTACCCGGTTTGGTGGCTCGGTGGTACCTGGCTCAGTGATACCCAGCAGCCAAACCCGTTGGTGCAAACTGGGGGTTCTGGGATGGGTGCTTGGAGGGGCAGAGCCCCAGGGCTGCGTTTGCCCCTTGGCTCTGTTCATCTCTGCAGGCATTTGGCACCGGGCTGGGGGGGTGGGGACGGGACACAGGGAGTGTCCCCGCTGTATCAGGCTGAGCGGTGGGTCCCCCTCCCCTCCCTGCCTGTCCTGCCCCGGGGAGGAGGCTGCTGCTCCCGGCGCAGGGAGCTGGGTGTAACGAGGCCACGCAGCAAGCGTGGCCTTGGGCTTATCAACTATCAACCCTCCCCTGGAGCGCAGGGTTTGGGGGGCTCCTTTTCCCTGCGGCAGCTGGGGGGGCTGCGGGGGGGGGGGGGTGGAAGCGGCGCTGGCAGATGGCCGAGCAGCATCCCTTCTCGGGGACGGGGGCATCGGCCGCGTGGGCTGGCGCACGTGGCTCGCTTGTCCCGATGAGTCCGTGCATGTGAGCTGCGGGGGCGGTTGGCTGCTTCGGCTGCTTTTGCCTTTGGGTGTTTTGGGGGGGGGGGTGGGGGGTGTGTGTGTGTGGACGACAGCCAGACGGGCTCCGCAGCCAAAGCCCCCCACACCCAGCCTCTCCCCGTCGGGCAGCGCAGGGTGTTCGGGCTGGAGCGGGTGCCCGCGGGGTCCCCTCCGTGCTGCGGTCGAGCCGAGGGGCTTGGGGGGCTGGTGGACCGGTCCCTGCAACCCCCACCCACCAGCAAGGGTGGGAGCATCCCTTCCGGAGCTTTCCCACTGCTGGGACCTCCCCTGCACCCCTAAATCCCGTAGGAAGCAGCCTCGGCGGTGGCTGGCCCCATCCCAGCCCCGTGCCGGGGATCTGGCCTCCCGCACTCGTTCCTGGCCCCATCCCAGCGCCGAGGGCTGAGCCTGGAATAACCCCTCTGCATGCCGGGCACGAGGAAACGCTGGAACTGCTGCCGCCGCCAGCCAGGGCTGCGAAGAGGGTTTAAAGCATGGGAAACCCAATTAACTTGGCTCCATTAGCTGATTGAGCTGGCTGATAAGCGTATGATTAATTAAAAGGATGAAGAATAAGTTACTGGGTCCTGGCTACTGTCGGGGTGCGGCGGTGGCTTAACCCATGAAATTGGTTTCTCCTGTTAATACCTGGTGCCTGGCTACCACCGGTCGTCAATCCCTCGCGGCATCGTTTACCGGCGGGGAGAAACACCCTCACACCAACACCGGGGTCGCTCCCTGCTCCCTCTCCCATCCAGCTTCCAGGGAGGGGGGAAAAAAAAAAATAATAAAAAAATTAGAAAAAATCAAGTGGAAAATACGATCCCTCTGGACGGGTGACGCAGGAAAGGACCTTATTAATTAACGGTGCTTTTCTCGCCGGGTGTCGGTTTGGCTCTGGAAGCCGAGTGGTGCGGAAGGACGGGAGCATCGTCCCTTCCCGCGCGGCCCCGGCAGGGCCCCGCTCGCCGTCCCGAGCTCACGCGAGCTGGCGGCCCCGGCGCGGGCGCTTCGGCACGCTCCCTGGCAAAAGCAGCGCCCGCGGGGGGCTGCGACCTCGGGCAGCCGCTCGGACCACAGGAAAAAGGCAATTTGGAGTGGTTTTGCGAATTTTTGTAGTAATCCCACTCGCTGAACCCTGGCCTGAAACCGCCGGGTAAGGCAAATCACCGTGCCGCAATTCTTTCTGCCTGGGGCTGAAGGAGGTGGGAGAAGACTCAACTCGCCTCCACTCCATTCCCTGTTGGGAAAAAAAAAAAAAAAACAAACAAACCTCAAAATCTCATTTTTTCCACCCATGACAGCAGGAGGGATGCTGGGCTGGGGTGTGTGTGGGGGGTCCCTGTGCACCTTCCCCTTCTCCACCTGCAAAAGCCGAGCGCTTGCTCAGGCACCCGGTCGGCGGTTTGGCGGTGGCAGAGGTGATGTCCCCGCACAGGGGCCACGGGATGGGTGGCACCTGGACACTCAGGGCTGCATTTCCCGGGATTCCCGGGGGAATTTTCAGCCCCAGCATCCCCGGGAGGAGCGGCAGCCGGTGTGGGCAGCGCTGCCGCTGCTGCCCTTCTCTCCCTGCTCCGTCCTGCACCCACCCAGCCATTTACCGGCAAGGAAATCGGTGCCAACAACCTCAGGATATCTTAGAAACGAGCAAACAAAGCCAACAAGACCTAAAAAAGCCAGGCAGGGACGTGCCCAGCGGCGTTACGGCTGATAGGGAAGGGGAGGGCATCCTCCAGGCCCCAGGGCTGTTCGGTCGCATCAGCTCCAGCGCTCATCCTGAACCTAACAATTACATCCCAAAATGAAAGATTTATATGATTGGAAAAATCATCCAACTGTAAAAGCAGCGGAGCGTTTCGCCGGGACCTTTTAATAGCCTCGCTTCATTATCTCTTGCAATCAAAGAGAAACTCGTGTTTGACGAGCACATGGTCTTCCAGGAGGCAATTAAGGAGACCAGGGGATGAATTTGGGAGCGGGAGGGCATTTAATGGTGTCGCCGAGCTGCTGGGCTTGCTCACCACAGCACAAATCCTGAAATCCCCTGTTATTTTAAGAAGGAACCATCAAGAGCCAGTGCAAAGAGGCCCCGCAATGCCTCCGGCTGGCAGGGTTTTACTGGGCAGGTTGGGTTTGACCCTGGGAGCTGGCAGGGAGGGTATGGCGAGCGCTGGGGTATGTGTGGATGTGTAGGTGCCGTGTCCCTGCTGGGGTCTAGAAGGGCCGGTGGAGATGGAAATAGCCGCCAGCCCCTGCTAGGAAAGTGATGACTCAAAGAAGCCGCTGGTATTTAAGGATGCTTTAATGCGCGTGAGCTGGGCTGGAGGATGGGATTTTTCCCCGCCTGCGGTCGGGGGCAGCTCCGGGAGGCCCCGGGATGGGGCCGCACAAACCGTCCTCCAGCTGCCGTCGGGGCCGGGATGCGGCAGGCAGGACCCGGGCTGGGCTGGGGAGCCGGAAAGGGATTTTCCCCCTTTCACCGGGAACAAAAATACCACGGGCACGTGATAGCCGATTTCCTTTAGCCTTTAAAAAAAGCCCCGTGGGACGGAGAGCGGCGGGAGCCGGGGAAGGGGGACCAGCCCATCCTGCTTGGTGTCCCCGCCACGTTGCAGCTAAAAAGAGCCCAAAATTGCCTTTTACCTCCAAAAGCTTCCAGCATTGTGCATCTGGGGGAGGGTTTATAGCTTTTTACTGGCTTTATCCCAACCTCCCCTAGATGCAAACCCTCCGTTTAACAACCACCCCTGCTTTTTCCGCTGGCAGCAACCCAAGAAACTCGTTGCAGTCGCTCGCCGGCCGTGCATGTGCCGCGTAGGCGTATTAAAACCCCCCCTTAGCTGGGAAAAAGACTTGGACAACGATCGTGCCTGGGATGTGCACCCGTTTTCTGGCTCTTTCCTTTAAAGGCTGTCGCCGCTTAGGCAAATATTTGACAGTGGGTCAGTGAATTGTGCAAGGGGCGTCCGTGTCTGCAACGTGATGGGCTGGGCAGGGGGTGGTTTGGTCTAATGCTTCGGTCTCCCCCATCCCAGCGAGGAGTTTTTTGGGGAGCCTCAGCAGCCTCCATCCCCAGTAAGAAAGCCGCCGGCTTCTGGAGGATGTTTGTTTTTTTTTTTTTTTTTTTTCTAGGAAAAAGGCATCCTGGTGACTGCCAGCTCCTAATTAGCGCCGCAGGCCTCGGCGCTGGCCTAATTGGGGCCAGGGCTGAGCTGCAGGGGCGATGCCACCGCAGGGTTTGGCCTTGGGCGGGTCCTGCCCTGGCATCCCCCTCCCCAAAAACCTCTGGGAGGTGTCACATCACCGTCCCCTCGGCGTGATTGATCCTGCTCCAGCTCAGTGGCTGTGTTAAAAAGGGGGTTTTCAGCCTTTTTTTTTTTTTTTTTTTTTTTTGGCTGAGGAAGAGGGGTCTGGCTTTGCACCACGCCCCCCCCCCCGCCCCCCCACCAGCTCAGGGGGCTCAGCCACTCCTCCCATCCCTCCGTGGGCGCAGGCGCCGGCACCTCTGCCCTGGCTATTTTTACCCACCGGGATCACGAGCGAGCGGGTGACCTTCCCCGAGGGACGCTGACACGCGGGGAGGGGGGGGGGGACACGACAGCCGCCGGCGTCGGTACCCAGGGAGCACGTCGAGCTGCGAAACGGCTGCTGCCCGGCTGTCTTGGCGGCGGTGAAGAGGGTTTTGGAGGGGCTGCTTGTGCCTTAGCTAGAGAAGGAGGATTGAGCCTGCAGAAAGGAGCCGCTTGTTCGGCTCCAGAGGCGAGTTCGTGGCTGAGCCTTTGTCTGGCAGAGACAGGGAGGGCACAGCCTGGGGGCTGCCGGGAGCTCCCCTGGCACCGCCGGTGAGGGGCCGGCGCGACGCCGGCATCTCTGCTCTCTCCTCGCCCGTTTGGGGACAGCTCGTCCCCCCGCTGCCCCGCGCCTGAGAGGGGCTGGGTGACATTTTGCAAAACTCAGTGGGGAATAAACAAACTTCCTCAGCTCCAACCCCCCCCCCCCCAACCATCACCCTCCTCCTTCATCTCCATCCCTTAACCTGCTGTCCTCTCCTTCCCGCTCCAGGCCGGTATCGTCGTGGCCGTGTTCCCGAGCCGGCGGCGGAGGGCAGCGTGCCAGCGGATCAGCTAAACCCCCGGGGACCATGAGCGCCGTCGCAGCTGAGAGCCAGCCGGGGCCGGGACCCGGAGGAGCCGTCGAGGCAGGGCGCCGCGGCTGAGGCCGGCGCGCCGAGCTGCGCCAGACCCCCCGCGCCGCCGCGGCCGGCCGGCAGCAGATGCTCTCCGCCCGGCCCGTGGAGCCGCCGGGGGCCCTCGCCGCGGCCGGACCACGCGGATGGAAAGCTGCAGCCCGGCAGGTAGGAGCCCGGCGCGGCAGGCGACGGCGGGGCTCCACGGCCCACGCCGCCGCGGCGATGTAAAGCTCTCGGTCCCGCAGGGAGCCTCGCCGGCCAGCTGACGCCATCCCGCGCCCTATGCCCGAGCCCTATGCCGGAGCGGGCGCCCTTCCCGGCTCAGCTGCCCGCCGACCATGAAGTGCTCGCTGCGCTTCTGCTTCCTCTCGACCGCCTTCCTGCTCGTCTTCGTCATGTCCCTCCTCTTCACCTACTCCCACCACAGCATCGCCTACCTGGACCCCGGCGGGCTGGGCGGCATCCACCGGGTGAAGCTGGTGCCCGGCTATGCCGGCGTGCAGCGGCTCAGCAAGGGGGGGCCGTACCCCCGGGGCTGCGCCTGCCGCCGCTGCCCGGCCGAGGAAGCCGGGGCTACCGACTGGTTTGACGGGCGCTACGACGGCACCGTCTCCCCGGTGTGGACCAAGGAGAATATGGACCTGCCGCCCGATGTCCAGAGGTGGTGGATGGTGAGCGAGGGGATGGACAGCCCCCCCGCCCCACCCCCCCCCCCGCCACGGGTCCCCCAGACCTGGGGAGCGCCGCAGTGTGCTCAGGCACGGGGGGGGGCACAGCTTTCTCCTCCTCCAGTGAGGAAGGGGCCACTGGCTGACGCCACCCCCCCGCCTCGTTTCCCCCCACCGCAGATGCTGCAGCCCCAGTTCAAGTCCCACAACACCCACGAGGTCCTGAGCAAGCTCTTCCAGATCGTGCCGGGCGAGGATCCCTACCGCTCCCGCGACCCGCGCCACTGCCGCCGCTGCGCCGTGGTCGGCAACTCGGGCAACCTGCGCGGCTCCGGTTACGGGCCGGAGATCGACGGGCACGACTTCGTCATGCGGTGAGGGCAGGGGACCGCTGCCGGGGGCACTGCCCGCCCCCTCAGCCCCGCGGAGGCACGGGGCGATGCTGGCAGCACCGCTGGGTGCTGGGCTCCCGCTGTGCACCACAGCGGCGTCTCTCCGGGTCTGGAATTCTCCCTGTGCCGTACGGCACAGCCCGGCTCCGGTTGCGCGGTCGGGGAGCCCACCGGGTGCTGGGATGGGCGGGAGCGGGTCCTGCAAGGGACAGGGTGGCTGGGAAGGGGGGTGCCACCTTCCCCGCTCTCTCCCCAGGATGAACCAGGCCCCCACAGTGGGTTTCGAGGGCGACGTGGGTGGTCGGACCACCCACCACTTCATGTACCCCGAGAGTGCCAAGAACCTGCCCGCCAACGTCAGCTTCGTGCTGGTGCCCTTCAAAACCCTGGACCTGCTCTGGATCGCCAGTGCCCTCTCCACCGGCCAGATCAGGTTGTAAGTACCCGGTGGGCACCAGCGGCAGCTCCCCCCGGCAGCGGTGGGAATTCAGCGGTTCCTCCCTCCCGGAGCATCCCCCCGGTCCCTCGGCAGGTCGGGTTGGGGTCGGGGGGGATGCGGGACCCCCCGGGAGCTCACCTGCCTCTCTGCTGTTTTCCCAGCACGTACGCGCCCGTGAAACCTTTCCTGCGGGTGGACAAAGAAAAGGTAAGGGGGGGGGGGGGGGGGGGGGCTCAGCCCAACCGCTGCGCTGAGCGTCCCCTTTGGCCGTGGCCCCCGTCACCCCATCTTTCCCCGGGGTCCCCGTCCACATCTCGGTGCTCCTTCCCGGGGGGCCGATGCCGAAGGGAGCGTGGCCGGGGCTCCGGCGCCAACCCCAGCCTGTCCTCCCAGGTGCAGATCTACAATCCTGCCTTCTTCAAGTACATCCACGACCGGTGGACGGAGCACCACGGGCGCTACCCTTCCACCGGCATGCTGGTGCTCTTCTTCGCCCTCCACGTTTGCGACGAGGTGGGTGGCGGCTCCTCGGGGGTCCCCCTCCGGGCTGCGGGGATGGCACGGGGTGGGTTTGCTGGGATCCTGAACCTCGGAGGGTTGAGGAGGGAGGTGGCTCCTTCGGGTCCGACCGCAGGAGTTCCACTCGCTCCGGTTGCCCGACACCCTGGAACGGTGGGAAGGTGCGAAAATCCCTCCGGAAGCGCGGTGGGTGCTCGGCTGTGGGGGTCCCCAGGCCGGTTGGGGGGGGGGGTGGCTCGGGGCTGGCTCACCCTCATCCTCACCGCTGCAGGTGAACGTCTTCGGGTTCGGCGCCGACAGCCGGGGCAACTGGCACCACTACTGGGAGAACAACCGCTACGCCGGGGAGTTCAGGAAGACGGGGGTGCACGACGCCGACTTCGAGGCGCACATCATCGACATGCTGGCCAAAACCAGCAAGATCGAGGTCTACCGGGGGAACTGAGGGCTGCGCCTGCTCCGGCTCCCCCGCGCCGGCCGGGTCCCCGCTGCCCACGGGGGCACAGGGCCAGGGTCTCCCCAGCGGCCTCGGGCGACGAGCGCCCGGGGGGGCAGCACGGCCCCACGCCCCCGGCGATATTTGGTGCCTCCAGCAGCCAATCAGGTTCAGAGCTAAAGGAGACTTTTTGCCTTTTTTTTTTTTTTTTAATTATTATTATAATTATTATTATAATTATTAAGAAACCCAGCTGAGAAAGGATTTGTAAAAACGCAATCAAGCGACTGACCGGGCGGCGGGGGTCTCCGTCTCGCATCTCTTTACAGTCAAACCAAATGCTGCTCTTTTTAAAACAAGACAAAATCCCCCCGCCCTGAAGCCGGGTGACTCTGGGGAGCGCCTGAGCATCGTGTCCAGGCCGACGGAGACGTGGCGGCCGAGCAGCCTCGCCAGTGGAACCCAGCTGCTTCTTTCTTCCTTTTTATTATTATTATTTTTTTTTATTGTTTTTATTTTTAACCCACCTGGGGCAGCCGCTGCCGTCGTTCCCCCGGGGAAGGCTCCCGGCACACAGGCAGGTCCCGGCGCGGCGGCAAGCGCCGTCGACCCATCGCCGATGCTCCGCTGCAGGCTGGCGGCACGGCCGGGCTGGGGGACGGAGGGGAACCCCGGCTTCGGGGCCGGGCATCCCCACACCTCCACCCGCGGGTTGAGGAAGGCTAGGATGGATTTCGGGGTCGGCGGTGCAAAAGGCAGCTCAGAAACCCGCAGAAGCAGCAGCCCGGTCCCTCCGGCCGGGCTCCTCGAGCAATGCGGGATGCAGCAGCGGGTCCTGCCCCGCCGGAGATGAGATTTCCCTTCGCTTTCGGGCTGGGAAAAAGCAGATTTAGAGCTAGCTGTAGTGGGCGAACGGACCGTGCTTTTGCTTCTGTGTTGCTATAAACAGACGTGAGAAGCTGGAATCCCAAAGTCTTTGCTCCGTTTGTGAGGGTTTACACCGGGCTGGTGCAGCCGGGGCCCTCGGGGCTTTTCGGGCTGGACAGGCTGCCCCGCAGCACTGGCCGGGGAGACACAGAAGGAAACGGCCTCCCCAGAGGTGTAATTAAAACCACTTTCTTTGGGTCAATCAGGTGGGTGGGGATTTTTTGGTTTCTGTTTTTTTTTTTTTAAGAGATACTGGAAAGCTGGAGAAAAAGGCAATCACAGAAAAGGTGCCCTGGAGAGGGAGGGCGATGGGTGCCCAACGTGGCTGGGGCAGGAGCCAGGCCCAGGGAACCCTACCCACACCGCCTGGTTGCAATAGTTATTTGAGGAACAATCACCATAGGGTTTTTTTTTGTGCTTGGAGGTTTGTTTTTTTTTTTACCCTTTTGCATCTGGCTTTTCTGTAGCCGCCTCTTACCTGTTTCTCTGCTTCGGTTTGGCTGGTTTTCAGGGTTTTCTTTTTTTTTTTTTTTTGAAGTTTCTCTCTGCAGTCGTGAAACACGAGGGTCTGGGTCACCCGGAGCAGGCACTGAGCATCCCTTAGGCTGGGGAAATTAATCTTTTCTGTCCACAGGGCTTTAAACCCCCGAGTTTCCCGGTGGGTTTTGGTAGAGGCGGTGTCGCCCTGGCGCGAGCCCCCCGCCACCTCCAGCCAGCCCCGAGCCCCCGCTCCAAACCCCAGGACACGGAGGCAGGTCGCAAAGAGCCCCGGCCTCCACCTTCCCGGGTTGTTTATTTTTTTTTTTTTTTTTTTTTTTGGTTAGGGGAAGAAAAATAAAACCCACAAAACCACGAGCAACAACGAGTGCCTTGGCCATCTCCTGTCGGCTACGCTGGGCTGTGCCCGCCCCCGCGCCAGCGGTAGGGCCTCGGCCGATTTTTCTGGCGGTCGTGCCCGCTTCCCTCCTTGCGCCGGGCTGGAGCTTAGCCGGGCAGTGCTGCTGGGGGGGAGACAGGGACACATCCAGGCCACCAAATCCGGCGTGACGAGGCTGGACCAGCTCCTGTCCCGGCTGAGCAGGGCCCGGCCAGACAATCACAGGGCGAGCGGAGGCGCTGGGCACCAACCCCGGGTAGCGAACGCGCCGCCAGCACCGCGCTCACGGCTCCTTGCTGCCCTGACAGTGTATTTTTTTTTGGCTAACTTCCTTCCCCTACCCCCTCTTTTTTTTTTTTTCCTCGTTTTTTTTGTATTATAATTATTTTTTTTTATTTAAGCTGTCCCGCTAGGACTCGCAACCACTTGTTTCTCTGGCAGAGGGGCTGCCGGGCGCAGGCAGGAGGAGGATGCCGCCACGTCGCCGACGAGCACCACTGTACTGTACATAGAGGAGATGTAGGCAGAGGCTAGGGGCAGGGGGGCAGGCAGGACAGAGCACCCACGCTTGCCCACCTGGCGGGGGGGGGGACGTGGAATCTTCCTCACCCAGTGCCTGAGCAAGCACCCATCGCCTCCCGCCCCGCCGGGAGAAGGAGCCCAGCGCTCTGACCTCGGGCTAGAGGCAGGGGGGTGGCTTCGCCCGTAGCCTCTGTGTACATGGGCACTTCTGCACACAACTGTCTTAAAAACTATTTTTTTTTTTTTGTTTTTTTTTAAAAAGTCAATAAAAACCATGCATCGGAACCGCCGTGTGTTTTCCTTCTGGTCCCACCCATGTGCCTGCGCAGGAAAGGACACAGATAAACACCCAAAGGATGTAATTTTGAAAGGGGGCGGGGGGGGGGGGGGCGGGGGGCAGGCACAGGCAGGGGAAGCCACTTTCCCTGGGGTGACCCAGCAGGGCCAGGGGCTGCCCCAGCTCCCAGCACCCACCACCAAAGGCTGGACCCTGCAACAGGCCCAGCGTAGCTGCAGGATCCGTCTCGGGACGACCGGGGCGGGGGGGGGGGGTTTGGATCCTGAAAGACACACGAGGCTCTTGCGTAACAAACCGCCAAATTCGGGAGTAGTTAAAACGCCTCTTTATTAATATACAAACCCTAGCAACATTTAAGCCAACCCAAATATAAATGAAAGCAAGCGTGATATAAATACAGCATACGTAACAACGTGGCCTCAGTGGAGAGCAGCAAACTCACCCCGACTTGTGCGCTTGGGAACAACTGCCCATGCCCTCCAGCACGGGGTCTGGCCACCCCAGCAGCTGCGCCTCTCCCAAACCCCTCCGAACGCCAGCGCGGCGGAGGCGAGGTCGCCGCTCCCCTCGGAGGCAGACCACCCGGCGCGAGGCTCTACAGCGTGACGTTTCCACAGCCCCAGAGCTCAAAGGGGTTTTACAGGAAAAAGCCTCCTCCCCGCGCTGCGAGAGACGGCGCCCTGCCGGCGTCCGCTCGCCGCGGCCCCGCGAGGGGAGCTGCGGCGGCCGGGCCGCCTCGCTGCCCCTCGCTCTGTCCCACCTCAGCTACGTCCGTTGCACGGCGTTCACAGGCGTTAAGGCACTAGAAAAATGTTTTCACGGGTTCAGACTTCAGCTGCTGTTAAAAACCGCAGCAGGGCGCTTCCAGAAGCCCTCCCAACCTTTTAAAATCCGGTCTTGGGGGGATTGATAAAAAGCACAACAGGGGCTTTGGCCAAGCAAACTGGTGCACCCGCTAACCAGAAGCGATGGTGGAGATGGGATGTGCGGGCGGCTCTGCGCGGGGTACGGGTCCAGGAAGCGGGGAGCCCCTCTCCCAAAAGGGCTCAGGTCTCCTGTAAAACCAGCGGCGACAGCGGGAGCCGTCCCGCCGCTCGGAAGGGAGAGGAGCGACCGAAAGAAAGCACGCCGTGTCTCAGGAGCAGCAGCAAGGAGTTGACCTGGGCCAAAAAAAGGGTTTGCCCCAATTCTTCCCGAAGATGTGGGAACCATGAACCATCACCCAGGTGCCGGGCAGGCGGTATGGGAACAACTACACTCATAGCACAGGGGTGCTGCGTTCCCCCGAGCGCGGCTTGGGTCGCTCCTCTGGCGGAAGCGCGTAGGAGCAGGGATGTGTCCTGCCACAAGCCCGACCGGGAGATGCAGGAGAACCCATCAAGGACTTCAAGGGACATCAGTCTGCCTCTGGTTATACTGGAAGAGGGGTGCAAGTGAAACGCGTTCCACTACAAGAAGAGCAGGGGGGAAAAGTGTTCGTAGCGTGGAAGAAGTCTCGGGGGTGTCACGGTGAGGGGTGGGAATTTCTCCGTGCTCACAAAACGGGTCACGCCCTGGCCGGGACTGCTGGCGACTCCCAAATATCTGCTCTGCTTGCAGCAGGTGCCAAGCATCCAGGCGGGAAGATGGGCCGCTGCCAGCCTTGACAAATCCATAAATATTAATGTGAACACCTCTCCCGGGTGCCTCTTTCACTGGTAATTTACCCCTCCTCTCCGCGGAGGCACCTTACTCCGAAGAGGCGCGATCTCTGAGCAGAGGGAATCAGCACAGCGCGTCACACCTGCGCAGCGGCGCTTTGGTTTGTGCTCTAACTCGGAAGCCAGCCCGACATGGGGGAATCCAGCAGAGCTTGGAGGCAAATGGGAGACGGGAAGCCTCGGAGCCATCTCAACCACCATTACGGGCAGCAGCGGATCCCTTCCGCTCCCCCCGACTCCTGCCTGCACATGTCAGCTGCTACAGCAGGGAGTTTTGTCTCTTTTAACCCAACGGGACACTCACAGAGTACTCTACACCAGCCCAGGCTTCTTTCTTTAAAGAAAGAAGAAACCCCATTACAGCGTGAGCAATATAGTGAATAAATCCTTTTCTGGAGGAGGGGGGGTGGGAATAAAAGAAGGTGCCAGCACAGACGCAGGGGCTCCCAGCTCATTTAGTTCAATTCAAATTCCAGCCTCAGACCAGCAGCATACTGCAATAGCAGCTTCGCACCATCCCTGGTGGAAAAATATCTGCCGACGTTTGTGTCTGCTTTGTACACTCAGCACACAGCTTTCCAGGAAGAAAATGAAATGGCAGGCACCACCAGTGCCCAAATACTGCTGCACCTAAAGCTTTAAGGCATTTATAAATATTTAAAGTTCTTGTTTTTCTCCCTCAAATGCAAAGGCTGCTCTTGCCTAGGGCTATTAGCATGCTACAATCATAATGCTTAAGGAAAGTTTAAAGTGCAAAGAGATTTTTCAAATGCTTTTTAGAGACAGGTTGGAGTCACCTGATGAAGTTAACCCCTCCTTCCCCAAGTCTTGTTTTCCGACTGCTTTTTTTTAATAAAAATCCAAATAATCAGTTAAGGAAAAGGTAGTTTAAAACAGCAAAGCATCCTGAAATGGGCGGAAAGCGTTATAATAAAATCATTTGGGAAGACAAATCTGAAGGTTGTGAATGTTTTGCTGGACATTAGCAGCAGCTAAGTGTTCTAAGTAAGGACTTCTGCTTCTGCGAGCAACTTCCCTCCTCTGCCCAACACGGAAACTACCCTGTTTTTATACATTTCTTCCCCAAATGTGACCATTTTGGTTAAAGTGTCCTGGAAGGACAAGGTCAGTGATGTCAGTGCTGCGCCTTTACCAGTCAGACACCGCTCAGAAGAAGATGCCAGGGAGAGACAAGCGTTTCGAGCAACCCAGTGCGTGCGCTCCCCACCTCCCCCGGGGGGCACGGTCTCCTTCACCGGAACGGGAACCAGAGAGGGAAACGGGAGGTTGGAAAAATGAGTGTGACCGCTGCTTTCCCTTCCCGGGAAACGCCGCCCCGCTTCTGCCCAGAGCCACTGCTACCCCTCGGCGCTCATCCAGCACGAAGGCTGCAGGAGAGGCTGCTCCCTGAGCCGGGAATCGCGGCTGATCATCTCCCCAGGGCTGGGCTTAAGGGGTTGAGTAATGGGCAAAGGATCAAACCGCAATCACACCTCTCCCATCTCAGCTCAGCCACCCTGCCGTCCCCTTGCCTGTTTTTATTTCGCCGTGCCTCACTCTCCGATGGGCAAAAGGAACTAACGTGCTCAGCTGCCTGAGGAAGATTAAGGAAGCGTTAAGGAGAGGGAGAAAACCCCGGTGCAGGAAGAGGGAGGGTTAAACGATGGAATATACAGCGGCCAAACCCGGGAGTTTGGATGTTGGTACCTGCATCATCTAAAAGCTGAAGTGCTTAAATTGATGCAGAGGGACAGACCTAGAGCCAGCCTGGCTGAGACGATGAAGCACCGGGTAGAACAAAGAGAAGAGCCTTGCGCCCGAGCGGTCCTACAGCAGCACAGGCTGGAGCCTGGAGGCGTTGCAGGAGCAGCAACGGGATCGGCGGCAGCTCGAGTGCAACAGTAGAAAGGAGGGGCTCCAAGCTTACACCCGGACTTGGAGAGGCCTCACGCAGCCTGCCTTCCTCGGCCACAAAATGCTAACAAGAGACTGTCCAACAAAGCACATCAAACCTGGACACTGGGGTCAGCACAGAGAAAGCAAGAAGAAACGAAGGCAGGAATGGATGGGAAAAAAAAAAAATCAGTGTAACACACCCTCCTGAAACAGAAAGCATCACTCTTAAGTAGACTGCTTTGATTTTATCCTTAGATTGTTAAATATGCACAATAAAGTCTCTCTTCTCTAATACCATTTTTACTCAAGCCTTTCAGTACTCGCTCAAGGACTAATAAAACATGACAACTCAGGAGAGGATGCAACAAGGGTAAGACAACATAAATACCTCTGGAGGAACAGTTTAATGGAAGAAGCTGCCAAGTAAACGCCACCGCTGCCACAAGTTCCCCCCACTACTGTACAGGTGACGCTCGGGCACGCAAGCCCTTCCCGGAGCACAGGAACGCCGGACACGTAGGTGGATTCACCACGGCCCCGTCAGCAAACACGCTCAGATGCTTGCTGCCTTCTGGGGTAAGAAAAAATAAGCCTACACGTGCCAAGTGCACACAACCCACAGTGGCCAATGTCCCCACGGGTCACGCCTCCCCCATCACTGACGGGTGATAAGTCCACCCCAAAGCGGGTTTTGCTCAGCCTGTAATATTTCAGCCAAAAAGATAAATTGTTTCTTCATATTAAGCTCCAGTTAGCTTCCCCTCAAGTGTTTCTCTTGCGAAGTTGCCTGCGTGAACAAAATCTCCAGGACCGCTCCCCATTCTGGACGGCAGGGCTCGGAGAACTGGTAACAGCCCTGCACGAGGGGCACAGAGCCGCTGCTGCCGCTGCGGCACAGAATGAGGCCGTGACCCCTCCCGTGGCAGAGGAGAGGGATGCTCTTCCAGTGTTTCCCACCCAAGGTTCACAGCCTTGCCGTGCAGAAAGAGAACAAACCGCCTTTCTCAGCAGAAAGCGGTTGAAGGCAGTTTAAGGATGACAATCATGTGTAATTTTACCATCCACGTTATTTAAGCGTCGTAGATGCTAAGACTGTGTTATAGCAGCTTCCAAGAGCCCAGCTCTAATCTGAAGGTGTACTAAAGGTGGCAACTCTTGAACAGATTTTGCTGTTCTTTTTTTTAGGCGCTCTACTTTTAGTCACCAGATAAAGGGATTAGGGTCTTACACCACCCTTTAATACCTCTGGAAGAAAACATGACACTAGAAGGATTTTCCTCGGTCTCAGTATCTTTACAACAAGCTATCCAATTGTCCCCTTGATAGGTAATCAAGTTGGTGAGGGCGAATTATTCTTTAACATTATAAGGTTAAAAATAGCTGCCAGAAATTAAATTGACTAAGCTTGAACGGCAGCCGAAGGCTATAGGTGCAGATATAAAACAAGAACCAGAATTCATAGCAGGGAAAGTCAGAGTAGGCGTTAATGAGCTGCAAGACTGACAATTATCAAACCACCTATCTCTAAGTCTCAAACAGCAAAACATAACATTACAGAAAGTGTTGCTGTATCTATCGTCATGATGGAAAATTATTTTCACTCTCTCTTTTTGCTATTGAAAAGTCAATAGATCTAGACATAATATAAACCTAAGCAGACATAAAGACAAAAGTAGCTCATAAACCACAATTTTATTGTCAGAATTACTGTGGGAAGAGACGCCCATATCAGCCTGAGGAACTAACAGGCATCTACAAGTTAGGGAAAAGAAAAAATAATCACAAGGAAGAATATAATCTGGCTGCAACTTAAATGATACTTCAGGAACGAGTGGTTGGTAGAGGACAGCATGCTGCTAACTTTCCAGTTTGGTCTTAACTACTCTATCTCTGCAGAGAACAAACTCAACGGTTTGAACTAGGATCTCTCTCCAGGAGTTGCATTAAGTACTTTAGCTTGCCTCAGCTGCACCCTTTGTTTTCTCCTGAAGAAGGATCATGCCTCAGCAGCGACCACAAATGGTCAATAAACTCTAATCAGAAGGGCTGCTCTAAGACACATCCTCAGTACCACGTATAAAACTGTTTGGCCGAGCGCCTGTTTCCCTGGGTAAGGAAGGCACAGGAATGTCCCGTAACCCCAGTGGAGAGACAAGAGGATGGACAAGTATTTTTGAGTGACCTGGAGCACTGCTCCCAGCTGGCAGGCTGCTAGAGCAGAGGTGCGCCTTGGCACACACATCCAGTGTGGGAGTAGTGGGACTGCAGTAACTGTCCGTGTAAGAGGCAAAAGGATTTTAAACTGCTATTAGATGCCTTACTAACCTTTCATTTAGGCAATTAATCCTGATGCACCAGGCAAAATTTTAATTCAGAGCGCAGTAATAGGGGAATTTGGAATAAATTACAATCTCCGCCTTCAACAGGCATGCATGGAAACTTCAGCCGCGAGATCCCAAGAAGTTGCCTTAGTATGGTCACTACATTTCAGAGACGGGGGAACTTTTGCACGTCAGTTTGAAAGTAGGTTTGAAATCCCCGAAGAGGTCACACACGACAAAGGAACTCACCATTCACAAAGGACAGCACGCCTGAAGAAGCGACATCCGCATTCAACCTACTACACCACATGCTCAAATCCTGAGTTCTCTTACACCCTTTCCTGACTCTCTGCTCCAAGGTTTCACAGTTTCGGTATCGCCCTGGCTGGGGGAGCTCACTCTGACAACCTGTTTTAAGGCGTGAAGGTTTTGGGCTTTCACCTTTCCTGCCTTAGGGACATCCGACTCCTTTTGCATGCTGAGAGCACCTGGATCATGAATGGCAGACCACAGGCTCAGCTGAAGGCAGGATCTGAAGCAACTAAAGCAGCAGAGAGCAAACTTGAGAACCAGGCAAGGTTTTGAGTTCCTAATTACACTACTGAGGCTCGCCATTTAACTGGAAAAGAAAGTGCCCCCCCAAAGGTTTTAGATCATAGAGAAAGTGTTCATCATGGCTGACAGGACAGACATCAGTGCAAGGCTGTGTTTGAACTCCAGACAGAAAGATGCTGGAGCAGAAAGACCACGATGAGTGTGTGGGTGGCAGAGGCAGGGAAAACGTTTAACAGATCCTTTTCAAGTAAATACAAGCTTTGATTTCGATTGTGCTCACAATGGGCAGCAGAAAAAGAAGATGTAAAGGCGTGCAATACAATTCAGCATCCCTCCACTTCTTTTTACCATCAGTGTTTGAGAATTGACGCATTCTGATCCCTGAAGAAGGGGTGAATCCCAGCTGCACTGTCTGAAGCATCTGAAGCAAAGAGCTTTGCGGAAGGAAAGCAATTTATAATCCCACTGCCGCACTCCCTTCACTCCCTTTATTCAGTTCCTTCAGCTGAGGTAATACCAGGAGAGAGAAGTAAGAAGTGCAGCAGACTTGAGGAAAAAAACAGAAGACAACTTCTCGAGGCCAGCAGGAGCTGCTGAGATGCTTTCTCACCACCAGAAGAAAACCCAGTGTTTCTTGCAATACTGCCAGCACCACAGGTGAGACAAGTGCTGGGTCTTTTCCTCTAATTTCAAAATAACCACGGGTAGCTAAAACCACAAGATGTTGGCCCTTTCTGCTGCTCAAGTTCCCCAAACCAACACAAGTTTTACATGAACCTTGCCAGACGAGCTTGATTGAGTCACATAAACAAAGGAAAGAAAATCCCCAAAGAGATCGTACAGCTGAAACAGAAGCAGCATTTCAACACTGCTACTAACATTAAAGGCTAACATCTGTCCTTGTTAGAAATCAGTATTTTTGCTAATAAAAACACCCAAATCCTTTGTAGAAGTGAAACACACGTGTTGATCTTCAATTAGATTTACAGAAGGCCATTTAGCTTCAGTGACCCCACGCAAAAAATCCAACCCCAACAACAACAAACAACTTACCAGCACCGCTGTCATCTCAGTGATCTGATGATTAAATCTACTTGACTCCCTGTTAGGGAAAAAGAATGGTGGACGAAGTGGGGCAGTGACAGGCTGGACTAGAGCCAGCCCTGATCTCTTGGCTGCTGCTCACACAACGCTCTGTCCCGTGCCAGTGAGGTAGCTGATCGTTCTATTGCTGTGTGCATCGACGCACCGACCCCTCTACAACGTGGCAGGCGGAGAGCAGGGTGAAGTCACAGCGTTCATCTGAACCACAGGCAGCACACACCTGCTGTCCCAATGCCTGATGCTGGAGAGGAGAGAGGAAAGGGTGTAGTCCTCAGGGGTTTACCCGAACCCTTCCCATCACCGTGAGGCTAGGGGCTCCGGTGGGGTTCACTCCTAAACAGGCTTCCCATGGATTCCTGGAGGCATGCTCAGCACTGTGCTTCAGCCACTGGGGCACGGGGGAGCCCGGCAAGCGAAGGGTTGAAGGAGGGAGACAGACGGAATCGGGGAGGCTTGAAAATGAAAGTTTTAAAATGTACAAAATGTAACACACTGGAAAAAGTTTAAAGGTTGCAAGACAGAAAAAAAGGAAGAGAAAGAAATCTATGAGGTGAGGGAAAAGGACTGGAAGATGGTGGGAGAAGGCTCCAGCATGGGGAAAAGGAGCGGGTCAGGTCTAGTCATCACTACTCCCTCTGGTAGCCACTCAGTTCCACCTCATCCTTGCGGCGACGGTGCGTGAAGAGGGAGCTCAGGGGGTAGAGCTTGGCTTTGGCCTGGAAGCGCTGCCCAGCAATGTCGATCTCGTACTCGCCCTGGTTGATGAAGTCAGTTGTCACCACCAGCTCTTCTCCCGTCTTCTCGTCAAAGTGCTGCACGAAGCCGAGGCAGACGTGGCGCTCCAGAGTGTAGCTGTAGGCACTGCTGGTGGTCTTGCCCACGTAGCGGCCGTTGCGGAATATGGGCTCCCCCCACCAGGGCCAGAGGTCCGTATCTGTGTCGTGGTCCTCAAGAATGAACATGGTGAAGCGCTTGTACACACCGTTCTGCTTCTGTTCCAACAGCGCTTCCTGGCCCACGAACTGCATTCCCTGCGGAGAAAAGGAAGCCCCAGCTGATGAAGGGACAGGACCTGTAGCAGCTGCCGAGTTTTAGCAGACGGGCTTACTGACACGAGGTGAATTTGCACTTGGAACTCATGCCCTGTCAAGACAGGCTGCTTCTACAGGCAAGAAGCCCAGCTCAGACAGAAGCTCTCCTGTCACGTTTGTTGTTCCAGCTGTTAAAAATATTTGCGAAGCGGGCCTTTAAAAAATTCATTCTGATTTTCCCTGTAGTGAAAACATGTCACCGTTCTAGCTTTTGCCATGTTTCTTGTTCCAGAAGTCTCCCATGTTTTATAAACCAGAGGGAAACTGTAACAGCATACGAAATTTGTGTCCCTAATCACTACATTCCCTCCTCTGAATTATTAGATACAAGCAGTTGTTTTGGCTCGTGCAAGGATGCGAGAAAGAAGGCAACAAGCAAGTGACAGAGGCAGCACCTGCCACCACAGCAAGCAGGATACAACTCTACACTGTTCTCTGTTTTAATAAAAATAGAGAACTCCCCTGTTTTAGTAAAAATAGACAACACCTGTTCTTGGGACCTATCCTCATATTTAACTTCATCAACCGCCCCTTGGTGCGCAGGCTGGCTTTTGCTTCATCAGGGAAAACACCATTTTGCTTCATCATTGGGAAAACACCATTTTGCTTCATCGTTGGGAAAACAGCTGGGAGAAACGCGAACTCTGAGCATCTGTAAGGCACGCAGCACGCTCACTGCGCACATGAGCAACACAGGATGCTACACAGATCACTGGGAATCCTGCCCAGGAAGGAGACAGATCGAACCTTTTTCATATTTCTAGCACCTTTATGAAGTACAGGAATATAGGTTATGGTTAGGTACTGCACACAGCTCCATCAGAAACCCGGTATATCTACCCCCATGGATGGCAAGGTCTTTTCAGCTCAGTACTGCTCTCCCAGCCACCACTGCTGCAATAGCAGACCCCGCTGCAGAAGGTGATCTCCACTGTACCTTTTCCAGCTTGACCTGGAACTCACGTCCACACTCCATAGGAGTGGTAAAAGCATCCAGATCCTGGCCCCAGAAGGCAAAGAACTTCTCAATGCGCAGGCTGCGGAGCGCGTAATAACCGGCGTTCCGAATCCCGTACTTCTGTCCCATGTTCATCACCTCGTTGTACACGTGAAGGGCATACTGCAAAGGGAGGGTGAAACACCGAGCTGCAGACTAACACCAGGAGAGAGCAACAGCATCCGACCGTGCCCTGCTGCTGGGGCACAAGAGGTCTGCCCGGCTGGAACGCAATACAAAGCGGGGGAACTCCCCGCAGAGCCTGCAGGCAGCTTTCATGTGGTACAAACCAGACAACCTGAGTCAACTCGGGAAGTGTTTCTGATTATGCATGCAAGCAACTGCTTTAATTAGCTCAGGCTACAGTGTACGCTTACCTCTATGGGGATATAAAGCATGAATCCAGGTTCTCCTGTGTGAGTGATACTCATCACACGGATGCCATTAGCATAGCCCACGCTCATCTCCTGCAGAATCAGAGGGGTTGAAATCATCCAAACTGGAGCACAGCACGGAGATCCAGAAGGAGCGCGATGCGTAACGCAAGCCACACTGCCCAGCCCTCTCTCCCCTTCCCCGCTGCAGTTCACCACCAGCACATACTTGCAAAGAGTTCACATTTAAAAATTCAGAGAGCGATGTCACATTACCCAGACTTCTTAATCACTTCGTGACACTTGGCAATAAGCCTTGGAACTAGGTCAGGACACAGGCTTGTATTCTGGATACAAGACAGAAGTTGAATAACAGCTATCTGCTCAGCCTTTTGACGTGACAGGAGACAATGACTCCTGAGTCACCGATCCCAGCTGCTCCTCTGACAGCTTCATAATTGATTATATGAAATATGTCAAGATATCAAATGGCAGCAAGCCTACAGTGAGTGGAATACTGAAAACAAATGCATATTCACCTATATATTTAGCAAGCAGAACTCAAAGAGGAGTAGCTAAAGTGAGCCTAGTGAGTTCATTACCAACCTAGCTCAGTAACTGCAGTAAACCTGTATGTAAATCTAAATTCCCCTCTAACTACACAAAACATAATGCTTCCCCTCCTTCCACACGTTTCAAAAAACCCAGCAGGGTGAGGAGGAAGGAAGCACAGCCACTCACCTTGCAAAAGAGAGAGGGAAAGTGTTCTGGAGTTATTGGGGCATATGACAACTCTGACAAGACATCCACAGCACGGGGGCCGATCAGATTGAGAGCTAACGAGGGGAAGATAACAGTATTAGGATGAGACTGGAGAAGTTCTGCCCGGTGTCTAACTTACATATGCGCGTGCCCCAATTCCTGAAGTCTTAGGGTTTATTGAACTAATAGGTACGTTTGCATTTCAGAACGGAGGAAAGAGTCATGAAACTCCCTCTCCTTACAGTCCACAGGAAAGGAAAGCTGTCTCCCAGCTCATGGCTCGCTAGAAGGAAGTCTCTGAATTGCTGCTTTCATCCAACCGTTTGGAAAGGAGACCCAGTCACCACTTCTAGACACTTTTAAGCAATTAATTGGCATGCAGCACAAGACCCCATTTGTGGTTTCAGGCTGTATAAGGAGGTCAGCTTTCAGCGATTTCTTACCCGTGTACTTCCAGGTCACGTCTTCCATGGTCAGGTTGCTGTCGTCAGGCAAGCGGTTCTTCAGCCAGGCCCAGCAATGGACTTGTTGGTCAGTAGGGGAAATCATGAAGAAGCTGGAACAGACAAATTGAAACCGAGAAACAATGAACGGACAGCCACAAGACGATGCAGTGCATTCTGCGTCCACGAACTACTGGAGCCATTCAGCAGCTTCCAAGCTAAAAGGAGACCAAAACAAGCTGGTTTGCGAAAACCACAGCTAAAGTCTCTGGATCGATGCCATCACATCTGTCATGACAAGAAACCCCAGCCTTCAAGCATTGGCAGTAGTCTGGTGACAAGAAGGGACTACACAGGCGATTCTGTGGAAAGTTCACAGGGTAACTCAGAAGTCACAATCGTTTTGCAGAAGGTTTTCGCAGCTCTTCACGACCAGTGATTCTGTCTACTCTGACAGTCAGAAGAGTGCATGGTTCACACAGCAATTCCTTGTTACAGCAAAAGTCTTTTCACACACAATAGCGGTTATTATTAACAGTTTCCAAAAACAGAACTCCACTTGATATGTGAAAATGAGCTACTTGTGTAAGTCTCCTTCATACTAACTGCAAGTTAAAGTACATTATTGACAGAGATAACATCTGCAGAAATGACTAGGCAAGGAGGAGAGCTACTGGTTTCACACAGAGAAGGACAATGCTTTTAAGTAATATATGAATGCAGACAGAAGAGGAAGAGAAAGAAAAGCTGTTTCCAATTGAAAGAGCAGCAAAGAATGCTTTCACACCAATACAATGAAAGCACACACAGAAAGCTGTTCAGAGAAATAAAGCCGACATTCAGCTGGGACATGCCAATGAAGAAGTTTTTAAAAATGAGCAAGTTTTTTTTTGTTAAATGCCAAAGAGAGCCCAAGTTGAGTCTAAGGACAAGAACTTGTGATCACATCAGTTTGCACCAGAGAGCACGAAAAAGAATCATGACAGACTGCAGAGCTGAGAATTAGTGTACCCATACTGCAATGAAAGTTGAAATAATCAAAAAGGAGTACTTGCATCATGCAGTTCCAATGAGGAGACTGGCCAGGAGCCAATGAGGAACCATTTGGTTTGTACTTTAAATGATTATCTAAATTAATACACTCTAATGACTGCTGAAAACAATTCATCTTTCAATTGAGAAATTAAACATCTGAAGGCCTAACATTTTGTAGAAATCTATGTTCACCTGTAGTCACAGAAAAAGGCATATTTTCCCCAGCATCGGTAAATTCAGGAGCCCCCTCTCATTTGGGTTACTGAATTAGGGACGTAAGCGGAGAATCAAGACTCTTCTTTTTTCTTTACAGAAGGGAAAGAAGCTTATGATCTCCAAGAAAAGGTTATTAAAGGCTCTACCACCCAAAGTGTGATGGATAAAGACGCTGCCTGCATACCTACCTGCGTTTGCTCAGTCGCGCGATGCTGCAGTCATTCTCATAACCTCCTTTCTCATTAAGCATGCCTGTATGCACAACGTGCCCAACCGGCACATCCAGGTCATGGGAGAAGAGATACTGCAGACTCTCCAGGGCCTGGTCTCCTGTGGACTACATGAATCGGAAGGCAGAGAAAGTCAGACAAGCTGTCTGAGCAATGCAAATCCACCGGGGCAGTCTGAGATTGCATCAAAGTCCTGGCCCAAATTTGTTCGATTCGTAACGATAGTGACACTGATGTCCTGAGCGTGATGGGACAAAATGGTGACAGAGTGCCTGGGGTCAGGTTCTACTTACAGACTAAACTGGTATTGCTATAAAACTGAGCCTTCGACAGACAAGATGCAATCTATGCTAAATATTGTGGTACAACCTGAATTCGGTCACACAGCTGGACTTCCTCTATCTGTCCTCAACGGGACACACAGAATTTTGCAAAAGCCGTCAATGACAAACTAAAGGCCACTTTTCCCAGGCTGATGCTTTGGCACTTCCTAGGTACTTACGCTTATTTCAAACTTGGTAAAAGATGACATGTCAATGACACAAACTGCTTCCTTACAGCACTTGACTTCGGATCCCACGATATCAAACCAGTCTGGTTTGTAAAAGGTTTTGCTCTGATCCAAATCCAGCAGATCTAACGTAAAGAAAAAGCAAAGGGACAACTCATGAACTGCATGAACTGAGATCTTGCGTAGACCAACAGGGATGCACTAGGCAGAGGAAAATATAATCTCACCTTTCCCAGGTGGGACAAAATACTTGACTCTCTCAAATCCATGCTTCTCCATCCACCTAGCCCCCTGTGCATCCAGACGGTCGTACAGCGGTGAAGTACGCAGCTGCCTGCCAGTCTGGAAGTCCCAGCGGGGAACTTTCAGATCACACATGAGGGCTGCAACGGTCACAAAGATCCGTTATTAGGCAAAGTGATTATCTAAAATTTTCTTCCAGATTATCAACACTTACTAATATCTGAACCAGTAGTAACGTTGCCTCGAAACAGTTTTGACCTTCCTTTTCTGTTTTCAAAAATCGACAAATCTGGTTTGATCCGTTTATAGCTATTCAAAATCAGAATAACAATATTCACACAGAACACTTACATTTATAGATACTTATGGTCCCCTAACAATACTGTCAAGATAACAAAAACCCTCTATTTTTCACGAAGCCATGTTGACTAGCATTAATTATACATTATTCTTCCCTGACAGCACACTATATCAGACACTTATCATTCTGACAATAATAATGCTGGGGTGGGCAGCCCACAGCTACAAGAATCATCTAATTCAGCCTCTTAAATATTGGCAGTTCAGCCTCTTCTAATTACTGAAGCTTTTCCAAATGGCTCCTATACCTTTTCAGCCGATATAGAATATTCTTATTTAGAAAATAAGTTACCCTAATAAATGTGTAGCATCCTCTCGGGTTACCAGGGGGCAATAATAACTCAAGGATGCTTGAATACTTATTATAAATGTTCTGTTTCTACGTAGGTCATAACCTGCTTAAAATTGAAGATAAGCTGAATATTTCTTACTGACTGCTTCTATTTAATTTAATGATTTTATTGGCATTACCTGCTATTGATACTCCTGAAGAGTGGGTAGAGGGAAGAACAGGTTAGAATGGAAACATAACACCACAGAAATTGAATACAGTACTTATCTTGTAAAAATTAAGAGTGATTCTGTAGCTACCAGCATTGAGATTTGTATTGGGAAGCAACTGAAGAATAATGCCAAGAGTATAAAGTGATTTTTCTGGGAGGAAGATCAAAGCATAAGGTTTTTATTTCCTGGATATAGCAGGCCTAAGAGGTTTACCCAACTTCTCTGCTTTCACTCGAACACATGTTTTCAGTTTAGACTTGGTATTCAAATAACTGTTCCTGTTTTGCAACTTGTGGAACGCTTCATACTTCTATCTGAAACTTGAAAAGAAGTTGTCCACTCGGGACAGACAATCAAACAATAGGAGGAAACGAAGTATGGCTTTAGACAGGAACAGTGACATCTCAAATCTATTCTGAAAGGTATTTATCGCAAACTTTGAGAGGAGAAAGCAGAATATATCTACGGAGACTTCCTGAATGATGTAAGATAATTGGATCACATACGCTTAAGTCAGAAGTGACGGTATTTCCACACTGTAATGATGTGCAAAGAATAACAAAGTTTGAGATCGTGCAATATTCCCAGTTAAGACCTTGGCGTTGTTTTATTGGGCTGGAGTCCTACAGAGATACGTAGAAATTTCCCCACACCAGAGGCAAAGCACAGAAACAGGAGAGCGCGTGGTACCAACAGCATTTCTTTAAGAAAAGCTAATGAGAACACTGCTAACACAAAAATCCCCCCATCCTTTCTCTTCTCCTGCCAAGAGGCTGTATTGCCACAAAGGAGGCCAGGAAGAAGGAAAAATGTTTCCCAGAGTGATGATAGAGGAGCAACAGTGCAGCAAAGAGGAAAATCCTGGACATCCTGGCCAGCACTCGGTGCAGAGACCTCACTTACGCATTACTTCCATCACACGGTGACGGAGGAAAGTGCGACTGCTCTGAAGGGTACCAAAACGTTTCAAGTCCAGAGGCCAGACGTTTTCTGATGGATATCCATTTACCATCCACTCTGCCAGGTACCTGATGGAAGAAGTAAAGACAGACAGTTATCAGCCAGTGTCTTCAGGGAGAGTCTAGCTTTGAAGTCAGGAGCAATGTAATTTGGACATGAGAATTTCTTGCAGCAGGGAGAGAGAAGACAACCAACATGGCATTCTAAATACTAGCAGAATCTGAAAGGTTTCCCTTTACACAACCCATCCAGCAGATTTTCAAATTCTTTACTTCCCATTAGGATGAAACATACAGGGCAGCAGGAAGTTAAGGACACGTGGTAAATGAAGCCAGAGCCTGGACAGGTAGCCTGGCTGACATGGTGTCAAGTCCTCGGGCTACACTGTGAAAGAAGGCGCTGAGTATGTTTGGGTTGGAGTTAGGAGGCTGACTGCTTTGTCATTTTTCAGTACCTGGTGTAGGCTCAGCCACAAATCATCAGTGACAGCATTCATTTCAGCACAAGGTGCCAGCCAAGTTATGTTTAGCTACACTTCTAGCAGTGAAGAAGGAAGGCATGTTCCAGAGCTAAAGGACAAAGGCAGCTCAGACCAAAGCAGAGCAGAAGGATCTGTTCACAGTCAGTAAACAGAAAAACAAAGGGGTTTGAGACTGATCATTAAAAGTCACATTAGCAAGCTAAGCGGCTTATCTTGAGGCTGTATCAACAAATGGATAAACGGTGCTTTCACCTTCAGAAATTATTTTGATTCTAAGAGAACCTCACTGCAAAGACTCTCTATATTTCATATGGCAAAGAAAAAAAATCATGAGTTGCTTCCCTGGGGAGTTAAATTATTAGACAACAGACAGAGACTAGTGGAGACAAATGCAGATACTAACACCTGCCAGGACAAGCAAGCAGCTTGTTAAGAAGGCTGTACGGCAGAAGGGATGCTGGGTCGCCAAAATCAAATGGCAATCAGAGGGAGTGATGATCATTCTGCAATCAACTTTGTGGCTGGGATCACACTTACATGCTTGTCAAAGTATTTGCATTAACATAGGAACTGGGGTTTACTGGGAAAGGATTCCATCCCTAGCTCACTGTCAGAGGACAGTCTTTAACAGTACTGGCAGCACTGGCTTCATGTATGCGGTGCTTCATCTGCATCAGATTCACTCTGCTTTCATAGAAATTTACTGCTGCGTCAATTTGAATGATCTAAGGACTTCAATCAAATAATAAATTAAAGGGGATCATGGAGTACAGAAGACGAGGGAACATATCCTTTGCTAAGCTTTTATCTCTTCCTGGTAAATAAAAAAACTGGACTAGTTAGCTCTAAGAAAGCTTAATTGATCCCCAGCATGCTGCTGATCACTGAGATGCGATGCCCGAGGTGCGCCGGACAGGAGAGCCCAACACAGATTTGGAATACACACAGGAGAACATAATCAGAACATGGCAACTGCTCCTCTCCTTCACTCAAGTTGGAAACAAAAGAGCAGTCTTTGTCAGAGAGAAAGCGACAAATACTGACCAGGACATTCTACACAGAAGGATCGCCTGAGCAGTCTCTTTTCTTGGTTAAAACCTTACTTACACACGTAACAGTGATAAACCACTTACTTGCCTGCTCCCCCACCATAGGAGATACCAGCTGAGTTCATACCAGCCAGCACGAAGTAGCCCCGCACGGTGGGCGACTCGCCCATGATGCAGCGCATGTCTGGTGTGAAGGACTCCGGGCAATTCACCAGCTGCATGATCTGCAGCGCCTCCAGATCCGGCATCCTGCGCAGAAGGGCACTCAGAAGTGGCTCTAGGACCCAAGACAAACAAACAAACAAACAAACAAACAAAAAAGACAAAAAGTCACAGCCTTCAGTCTCGACGCGTTTCAGCTGCTTCAAACTGGACAGCACGACAGAGGCATGCTGTTATCTGAACAGATGAAAACTGCTTTCACACTGCGGTACGGTCGCAGGATAAACCCTTCAGCTGCTGGAACCAAACCACTCGAAATGGATCCCACAGCTCACCTTACTGACCCGGCCCAAGAGCCCAGTATTGTTTTCAACAGGGCAAGAGCATGGTCAGTTTTGTTAGGGAAAGCTGTAGGAATAGACAACCCGGATACCTAGCGAGGAGTAAGAACAGACAAATCTGTATGATGCTTGTTTCACTCTGCCAGCCTCTGCTGACCATCAGCACAGAGGATTTCCTGCAAATCTGATGTCTTCCCTATTTAGTACCCCCTAAATTAATGTCTCTAAATACTTGACCAACCTTCCCCAAACTCATGAAAACATCCTAGAGGCCAGCAAGGAGTTCCACATATTTAGTGTTTGTTGTATGAAGAATCACCTTCTTTTGTTTTGAAATTCACACTCAATTAACTTTTTTTAATGCCTCCCAGTTGGCGTAACAGAAGAGACAGTGAACAGGAGATCCCCATCTACACTGTCCATCTCATTCAAGATTTCACAGACTTCTGTTTATTTCCCTCCTGTCATCTCTTTTTCCCAGCTGACTCAGTCATTCCTCGCTTGGAAACAGGTTCCAAGCTTTGATCAGTCTCTTGCTGCTCTTTCACCAGGCCTTCTCCAGTCACACGGTAGAGACAGAGAGTCTAGAACAACACCCAGTATTGGGCAAACCAAGGATTTAAAGTTGCACAATGACTGTGTTTTCTGTTGTTTTCCTAACAACTCCCAGCTTGTCTTTTTTGCTTTGACGCTGCTGAGCTGATGTCTTCACAGAACTGATACAACCCCAAGGTCAGTTCATAGCCCATCGTTCTGTACGGTGAAAGTAAGACCATCCTCACACACCCCCACGCACTTGCGTCACTTCACATTTATCCTCATTGAATTTCCTTGCCACTTCATTGCCCAGTCACGCTGGAAAGGTCCTTCAGCAATTCTTCACAGTCTGACATTTGAGAGTGTTAATAAAGGGATAAGCTATCTACTTTGTTTTTCTTGTCCAGAAGTTACCTCTGCATAGTACTCCAGATAAAAGCCCTCAAGATTCGGCACTAATAACACTCCTCAACTTCACACACACAGAGTGAAATAATCAGACTTCACATTACCTAAGAAGTTACAAACAGAAACAGTCTTTCTGACCTGTTCTTTCCCTTCCCTTTCTCATGCATTAGAATTCCAGAGTGAGAGCCCGTAGCTACAGACTTCTTTTCCTTATTAATAAAAAGAGGGATCAGTGTTAGATTCGTTCTCGTATCCAGCCCAACATTTAAGCAATTGTACAGGCTATTTTAAAATCAAAAGGTGTTCCAATGAAAGAGATCAAAGCAGTAATGCAAGAGCTCAAACCACAGGAACTGCAGCCCTAGAAAAGGATCAAATATTGGCTGAGTAAGCTCTGACTCTGCTCAACTGTTCAGTACGTCTGAACTGATAAAAGGGTAATGCTGGAACATCGCATGCAGTTGCTTCTGAAACTTGAGCAATTTGTGGGTGCCAGCAAGCAGTGACTTCTCATTTCAGCAGTACCTAGAAAACCAAAAGGGAAGTGGGTGTGGAGCTCGAGCAACTCATCAGTGAAGCTAGAGCAACTCATCAGTGAAGCTACTCTCTTCAGCAAGTCTGTAGGCATCTATAGATCTAAAAACCTTTAGCATATGCCAACACAAAACTGCACCCCATCCTGGCTCCATCCCCCGGAGTTTAAACTTTTATGGTATCAATATGGCATCTCACAGAAACGAAAGTAAAATTAATCGATTTAACGTGGGGAATAGTTGGAAGAACACACTACCATGGCAGAAAGAAATCAGTGAAAATCCATCCGTGCCTAGACTCACATACAGAGGCATTCACATTCACAAGGGATGCAAAGAGCTCTGACGCAAGGGAAAACTGGATCCCTGAAGTAAAGGCAAATCTGAAGATGAAAGGGCACACACAAATTTACCAGGCATAAAAGGGCTGGGGAAAAAAAGAAAATAGACCATGCTATGTTCTTTCCTACAGGAAGAGCCCACCATACAGAATATACAAATAGAATCAAATAAAATGGGAGGTGAAAGACAGGACATTTAGAATATAAGAAACCACCGCTCTCAATGGTGGGATGAAGTCTGGGAAGCAACAATAACAAGTTCTGTCCACAAACCAACTGCCGCGGATGGACGTGCACTTGGCAGCCAGCGCTGAAGAGAGCTGCAGAAACAAAATACCACAGCTACACAGCAGGTCAACAGTGTTGATCTACAGCATCACAAGAGGAGCAGCATGTGGCACTGACAGTCAAAAATCAAGTGAAATCGAAGAACAGCGCTGGAAAGTTGCACTAGAGGAAATTAATATATGCTGAGGGTTAGCGGGTGTTTTTAAACACTACACAGATATCAATGTCATCCTTGGTAAAGGGGATTTATGTAAATTACTGACAGATGAAGAGGTGAATGAATCTGGAAGAACATTCATCTTTCCCACACCTTTCAGGTAAAGGCAGACAGATGCTAGCTGGTCAACAGCAGCCTGCATTGTTGCTAACTCTTCAGCCTTCTGCTGAAGCCACGTGTTTCATCGCAGTGGGAATCTTTCCTCCCTAACATACCAAAATGATCCCAGTCTTCTTGAAGGTTCTGAATCTCCAGCTGGTTCCGTCCCTCCGTGAAGAGAGGTTTGGGGTTTTTCTCAAAGCCTCCTGAGAGGATGCCGCCTTGCCAGTTGCGTATGTAGATCCTGCCATCTGGATCTACAATAGCTGCAGAGGAAATAAAAGAGGTGGGAAGGTAATTTGAGAGAAGGGATAGCTATCTCAGGCTGTTCCACAAACACCAACAATGGGGTCTGGTGACAGGCTGGGCCAAGCTAGCGGCCTCCTGACACGAGAAGGGACAGGCTCAGTCCCCCAGCCCCACTCTTTCACACCATTCTGGTTCTCACCTGAAACCTTGGTGAGCCAGTTTAGACTACTAAACCAGCATCAACTCCCACCACAACCATGCATGTTAACTTTTGGGCAGCACAGTAAATTGCATTGAACCTGAAGAGCACCCAAGCCAGCAGGACAGTGTTACCAGGAGTGGGAGGACACAAAGGGGAGTCAGATCCCTTGTGGCACCGCTAAGCTATCATACTGGCTTAGTTCCACCAAGAGAGGTCCTGTTCTTCCCTCCCCCTTTTCTCCTCCTATATTAAGAACAGTTGATTTTAATGGAGGTGCGTTACTGTTCCAGTTTGCTGCAGGCCATCGGCGCAAAGAAGGTGGGCAGCACTGGGGTGAGGGCAGGCAGTCAGGTCTGGATTGCTTCTTCCAGTGGTGGTGGTAACTTGAAGCATTTATGATACTCCACCTGACATATTCCATAGCAATTTTTTCCACATACAGGAAAACTGTGAACATATAGATCTCTCTCTATATGTGTGAAACACATCCCCCCCCCCGCCCCATATATATATATATATATATGTATTTTTTTTAATTACTTAGTCATGTAAAAGTGAAGCACTTGGGGACAGCTCTGGTCAGAGAGCTGAACTTCCCTGAAGAGTATATACATTGCTCACTAGAAGCAGAAACTCTCGCTAACAACTGAGAGTAAATAAGCAAAGCTTTCTACTACCCAGTCACAGCTTTCAAACACAAGGGCTTTTCTTTAAGAGATCCAAAAGCCAGAACATGGGGGAGGAGCAATTACCTCAAGTGTTTGGTTGCCCCTACAGCTCATAGACATGTAAATGCCATTGTAAAGCCTTAGCTTCAGTTGGAGGAAAGGAATAGATGGGCCATTTGGGGACAGCAGCCTGCAAGGAAAACATAGTGCCAAGGCTAGCACCCTCTCCAGCCCACAAATGCAACAATCCAAGTCTCAGACACACCTACTAGTCAAGCTAGAGTCAAGGTCATTCTCCTGCTAAGTTGACAAACTCTGAAAACCAATTCCTGCAGCAAAAGCTTTCCCAAGAGTGAGGAAAGAGACTCCTTCTACCACCACCGAAAGGATATTCAGAGCAATTCAGCTAGAATGCACTTCACAATCCCAAATGAGCTGAGAACTGGTAGCCCTCAGTTGGCTTTTTTGTCATAAACTATTTGTCACCTTGGAAAGACAGAGGTAGAGCTGATGAATCCTTACTTGGTAAGCTGCTTGCCAGAGGCTCCTTCAAAGGGTGTGTCAGGAGGTAGAAGTGTTCGCAGGCATGGAGTGGGATATTGACCGGTTCCTCCCCAGAGTGGCCCAACTCATAGGCCCACTGAAATAAAAAACGTGCAGGTTTAATTCATAAGAAGAAAACTAACTCCAGTAAAAAAGGCAGGACAAAAGCACAGATCACCTCTGTGAGTCTGCTTTCATAAAAGACCATATAAGATTTGGTTCAGTCCCGTAAACCTTAAACAGACACGGATTTTTCTCTTTTCTTAGAATTTGAATTGTTTAGGATAAAGACTGCTTTTCTATTCCTCACCTAAGAGCTAGAAAAGTGAGGCCCTGATTCAAGACTAAGAAGTATCAATTTACAACACAAAAGAAGCAGACTAGCCAGGATTTAGGTGCCTGTACTGCTAAGACCCCATACTACTAAGACAGCCAGCTGCCAGTTGGACACAGCAATTGTGAGATGTATTTTCACATTGGAGAAGATATGACACTAAGCAGGGTGGGGGAAAAAAAAAAAAAAAAAAGGGAATTTTTGGGGCAGGAGAAGAGAGAGAGGTAGAGAGTCTCACTAAGAGCCAAAGCAAAATTCTTCCTGTCAGAAGGGTGCACTCCCTGGGAGAGAGGCCATGGGCAGAGCTGTACCAACAAGCTGCAGGGTGCTCCTCAGCAGGTTAGCAACCAGCCTTTGGTGCCCAGCAAACAGCAAGCGTTGCTCTCCTCCTTCACGCCTCTGCTGGTCTAAGAAGCTGAGTAACATGACTCTGATCTACTCCAGTAAACCAAGCCAAAGCACAAACCGTAAAAAATTAAAACAAAACAAAACAAAAAAAAAACCAAACAAGGAAAGCGCACATTTTCTTAACCAAAGGAAAAAAGAAAGAAAAATTCTAATAATTCAACCTGGCCGGCGCAGTTGACAAAGTACTGGCACTGAATCTGTCCTCTGTCGGTCTCAACTCCAGTCACACGACCCTTCTGGACTGAGACATGACTGACACTCGTCCGTTCGTGAATCTGGACACCTGAAGAGGACATAAGAAAGTCAGTATACCACAAACCTTCTCCTTCTGATGTGTCAGGCTGCTAACATTAAACCCTTAAACTCAACCTAAATGCTTATTTTCTCTTTAAGACAAAGTTTCTGTTCTTGACCCAGTAATTCTTAAGTGAAACCCTATCATTTGTAAAACATCATGCATACAATTTGTACATAATTTAAAGGTTGAGACTGTGAAGAGCTACAGTACTTCTTCCCATGTGACAGCTTGGGTGATAAATACACCCTAGTACCAAAAAACATGAAAAATAAAAAAGTCTCTCAACTATGGGTTTCTTTCCATTACAGTTCATTTATGCAACGAAATGTGTAGTTTCAGATGGCAAGACTGGTTCTTTTATGGGAAGTCAGTCATTTCATGAAAAAATTAATTAACAGTATGCAAAAAAAGCTGGACTAAAAGAAACTGAGAGGTATCGTCCTAAGTGGCTTCTTCCAATTTGATGGACTTTCATCCTTAATGAGCTTCATCTCCGTTATCACACCCAACCTTTCTCCCACTTTTAGACCACCCCAAACTTGCAAAAGCGCTGGGCAAACAGCATTTATTATTACATTTCCAAACACATTTCCAAACCATATGTGCCCAATGCATTATTCCACAAGGATTCAGTTACACCTTTTCATTTGTGGGTAATCAAAACTCTTCTGACGTGTAATTTTGAGTCAGATCCTACAAAGGATTGGTTTTATGATACAAGAGGGCATGCTTACCCCGACAAATATATAACCAGTAAAGACAACAAACTGGCGCTTGATCTATCGCAGCAGATCTGTAAAGATTCAGTACATTAAAAAAAATTCAGCCCGTTTTTTGAGGAAAAAATAGATTTTAAAGAATCTGAACCCGACAGAAATAACTTAAGTTTTGGTCTTCGGTGATCAGTTAGAATACCAAAAGAGACGCAGAATGTAATTTTCTTTTATGGAAAGAAGATAACTATCACGCAGGAGAACACTCTATAGATAAAAAAACCTCATACCATTCCGTGAGGCCGCGGTTGCCAGAGCCAGACTCACATTGGCAGATGACACGAGCGCATCTTCTGGCACATACATGGCCCCCACAAGGTCATGGATGTTGATCAGTGGGTGGAGCTGTGCCACTTGCTTTGGGGTGATAATTTCACAAGGTATCCCCATTACACTGCCACAGAACATAAGAAAAATGCCATCATTAGCCTTGCAGGAGAGCTGGTGCAAACTTAAGATCAGTTATATTTCCTGCTTATACGTACTTCAGCGATGAAGCAATGCGTTTCAGAGAGATTAGTCGGTCCTGAGTCTGAGCCAGTGAAATAGAGCCTGTCTTCATGTACCCTATGACAATGACCAAAGTCAAGTCAGATTTGGACAGGATCTTGAATTCTTTTTAGTCTCAGACCCATTGCTTTAATATAATTGCAGACCCGCTGCTATACTCATGAGCCTGGAAATCCCAGCTCCCCAGATAACTTTAAACACTTATCAGCTAGTAATTAAAAGTTGCATTAATCAACTTTTCAGAAAAGCAATTTAATTTTGACTTGCGTTCTTTCTACTACATTTATTCATGTTTACAAAAAAAATTAAACTTCATACATGGTACCTTTTAAAAGAGAGGCTACTGGCAAAAGTGATCTAATAATTACTCAGAAGAATAAAGCCTCAACAACTAAACGCAGGCATTTTTTGACTCCACTACCTACAAGAGGTTAATACTAATCTTAATATCAGGCACAGTTATTAACCTCTGTTGAGTCTGACATACATCACAAGTCCTTGTCAGCAGAAAACTTTCAGTGACCAAGCTCCTCCTATCAGGTACATGCCTGAGTGTTTTGGAGGGAGAAAGAGAATTCTGACACGTTTTCTCTTGTTATTTCCAGGGTGAGACTAGCGTAAGATCCCTTGCTTTGCCTATGCCTTCGTGCTTATATTAACCACCTTCTTTTTGAGAAGTGAATCGGTGCACAAGTAGGGCCATTTGCTCCAGCACTGCAGTACACATTTAGCATCTTTGTGAAAATTCATCTACGATTGCCCAAGCTACAGCTAACAAAAATTGTCACAGTTTTCAGGTAGGTTGCCCATCTGATACTCTTCTTCCCATTCTGATTACATTAGCAGCATCCCTTTGCATCTGCTCCAGTCCAGATGCATCGGTTTTGAACAGGAACCACCAACTCTTAAGACGCTGTAAAATTACATTCGTATTTCAGCATCAACACTTTGATTCCGTTTCCCAAAGATTACTCAATGACTACACTTTCAGTACCTGTTTGAACTCCCGTTTCTTGTTCCAGCTGCTGGTAGAGCTTGTTTGAATAGTCTGCCATCTTCAGCTCTATGGCCACGTGCCTGACCGTGCTCACGATGCCAGCACAGAAGCGAGTGGTGCCAGCAGCCAACCTGCAGGAGAAGTTGTGAAGAGGGCTTCAACCTCCGGCCAGCACCCTGCGTCAGGCTGCTCCAGCAGCCAGACACCCCAGGCAGCAGCCTCTCCCCCACACATACCAGACCAAAAGCTGTCAGGTGGACGCTGCAGAGATAATACAACCTCTAGAATGCTTTTCCTTTAGCTCACTTCTGAAAATGCACTGTATTCCAAAACCATTTCTCTTTAACTAGTCCTAAACACTGAAATTTTTCTAAGAAAGCACTTTAAAAAAAAATACTTTATGCTTAAGTCAACCTGCCTATCCGATTCTTTCTCCATAGCAGGATTTCTCTCAAATCAAAATTAACTTTGATGTAAATCTGCAGTCTACAGTAAGAACAAGTCCCTCTTACTGTGCAGCATCTGCCATAGACAGGTATGCATATTTCTTGTCCCTTTTTAAACTGCCCTTAAACCACTGTCCATCTAGCTAGTTGGTGAAGGGCTGCTGTAGAGACAGAAACCTGTTAAAAACTCCCAAACTCCCCACAGCACAGACAGGGGAAGACAAGACAATTAGATTTAAGAATCTTCCTCGCAATCTGCTTCCGCAATACTTCTAAGCCATCTTTCCTGCTGCCAAAGCCATCTTGCATTTTTCCACTTGCCTGTGCAAGCCTTTGACAAGCCTGCTTTTGGCCTAACGGGTCCATATGCTCTCAGGAATTCAACCTAAGAATCAGTTGAGTAAGGCATTCGTTTTGCTACACCCCTATTCACTGACAGCCGACACAGCTGAAGCACAGTCTCACCATGCGGTGCTTACCCTAAGACATTTCTGCTAAAGCAATATTCTTCCTTTTTCCTTGAGCATGCACACAGACTGAGCTTGTACAGCATCTAACTCAGTGAAGATCTGTAACGGGTTACTCGCACCATACTCCAACCTAGTAAAGATTAAATTCCCTTACAAATGAAGCCAAAGCACCTAATTTCACTTGGAAGGACACCGCTCACAAGCTCTCAGATGAGACTACTCAATTTCCTCTCTTTGCAACTACAAAGAACCAGATATTACCTGCTTCCCAGTCATGCAAAGTCAAGGAATCACAGCTAATTTTCTTGAAGGCAGCAGTGGGTGGAAAGCTCAAAGCTAGACAGTAAATATTCTCAGTCCAGTACCTATTGATAGGGTTAGAAGCTGCTGCAATAAACACCTCCTCAAACTCTTAAAGTCTTAGCACTGTCTCATAGCCAAGGTCCCCAAATTGCTGCATGGAAACATGAATCTACCTCTGAAACAGAAATCTAAACAACAGGAAAGGGCTGCACAGTCAGCTTTAAACAGGATCCACGTCCTCTGCCACAGACTGCTGATCCAAGGCTCCGAGGAGCCCAAAGACTTGTATTCAGCCAAACTGTAACAGCCTCAGCTGTTTTACAGATGGGCACTAAATCCTACAACAAACTAGACAGATAACCCAAGCCTTTAACCAGCTGGTTTAACAGGGTGCTGGTTTAGTGATGCTTGCTTCTAACCTCCACATCTCCCACAATCGGTTGTGAGCTTTGCTAGTGGTGTAATGCTTCATAAACATGTCACATCCTACTTCCAGAGATGGTCCATAGGGGCTGGATAATTTAAGTAGATTTTTAGTTCTCTTAGAATGCTCCATCTTCACCAGTCACACTGTGTTTTACACGATAACCTGCGATTATGCCAGACCAGATGGGCATCTCCTGAAGGAACTGGGGTCCATGGAAAACCCATACCAGGGCAGAGTTCTCCTGATGGGAACTACAGCCCGTGGAGGACCCACACTGGAGCCCAGCACTGATCATATCCCACCACTCACCCCCTGTGCTTCCTGGGGCAGAGCTGGAGGCTAGGGTGGAAGAATCTGGAGTGTAGGAGTGAAGTCGAGCAGGGGAAAGAAAAGGTGGTGCTTTAACGTTTGTTTTTTGTTTCTCACTACCTGAATCTATTTTAACTGGCATGAAATAAAGTCATTCTGTAATTATTTTAAATCAGCTCTCCTTAAGGCAAGCCTGGTTTGCCCATGGCAGCAACTGGTAAGCAATCTCCACATCTTTATCTCGATCCACGAGCTTTCTCAACCTACTTTCTCCCCATCTTGCTGAGGAGGGAAAGCGAGTGGCTGTGTGGGAGTTTGCCCCTTAACCAAAGCTAACCCACCACGACCACGCAAGGGATACCACTTCTTCCCACTCACAGGGCAGACCTGCAAGGGGAAGGGTAAGTGTCATTGCTGATGTTCAGTATAAGCTTATTCCGTGGGTCCAAGTCCAGGCGAAGAGGCAGAAAGAACACATTACGGCAGATGCCGCTACACGTGGAAGTCCTGTCTCTTTGGTGTGGCCACCAGAGATCCTTACCTGCCCTGCTCAAGTAAGACTATATCCTTCCAACCCATCCTGGAAAGGTGATACGCCATGGAGGTGCCCATGATTCCACCACCGCAGATGACAACCTGCGCCTGTGCTGGCAAGGAAACGGGGTGAGGTTCTGCTGTACTCGAGGTGCTTCGTCGGGAGCTGGTCATTCTTCTCCATTTCGGGTCGGCCGCCCGCCACCGGACATCTGACAGCAGTCGGAGAAACATCCCCGCAGCTGTCTGTCAGCTTTCTCACAGCACCACCCAGATGTGCTGGGGCGTTAAGCCAGCACCACTCCTTCTAGGAAGGAAAAGACGAGAATCACGTTACCACTTATCTTATATACAGGCTTGGCGGCGGCAAACGTCACGTGGCGTGTAAGTGGGCATGGGAAAGCTGATGTGTAAACAAATAGGGGAGCAGTTATTCAGTCCTGAAACAACAGTCTTGCCGTTAAGGTTTAAACTCGGGTCACGCAGCGGGCACAGAGCACTGCACCTTCATTTCTGACAGCGGCGCTTTGACGACGGGCAGGTCCGAGAGCAGCGACCACGCTCCGATATCTCTGCCGGGGGGCTGCGGTTCGGAGGGCACAAATAACCTTGATTATTCACGCTGCCAGGCCCGAGGAAGGGAACAAAGCGTGTGATCAGCGCAACCCGAGCGGGGGAGGACGTTTTTTACCAGAGGACGTTGCTCGGCCCGGTGAGCCCGCTGCAGGCCCGGGGCTCCTCCCGCCCGCCCCGAGCTCTGGGGACGGGCGGCACCGGAGCCCCGCTGGCAGCCGCAGCACACCCCCCCCTCCACCCCCCCCACCCCCTCCCGGCCCCGGGGAGCGGGGCAGGCCGGCGGCCGAGCGCTGCGGGGCCGGTGAGGGTCCCGGGGAGCGAACGAACGGCGGGACCGGCTCACCTGGGGCGGGGGGGGGCAGGCCTGACCGACCTTCCGCGCTTTACGGCCGCGAGCCGCGGCGCGACAGCCGGCCCTGCGCGCTGCGTCACCCGCCCGCCCGCCAATCCCCGGCTGAGTTGTGTAGGGGGGCGTGGCCGAGCGGCGCCACGCCCCCCCCCCGAGGGGGCGTGCGCGTCCAGCCCTAAGAAATAAACTACAACAAGTAAAAACCTGCAGACTCTTTTTATTAAATTCTCCCGTTTCATCTGTACAGACAAAAAAAAAAATGCACATTATTATGTTCAGAATCTCAGTAACATCTTAAAATTACACAGCATGGACATGTAAAAAAAAAAAAAAAAAAAACCAAACCAAACCCAAAACAAAGCAAAACAAGGACCGGCCAGGATTTATACACAGAAAGGGAAAACAATTTACAAAAAAAAAAAAAAAAAAGTCGCGTTAATGTCACATTTAAAAATAATAATTAAAAAAAAAAAGACACTAAGTTCAAACAGCTTCTGCCGTACACCAGGAATGCGCTGGGCCTGCTTTGTACAGGGTGGGGGATGGCTGGGTGTGCTGGGGTACCCCCTCGCCTCCCCCAAAACCCCGCCGCTGGTGTCCCTGGCAGGCGGCCCAGGCCAACACAACCGCTGGTCACAGCTGCTGGTCACCTCATCACGCCTCCCTCTTCCCTTCCCCGGTATTCCCCAAGGCGGGAGCTGCGCACGTACTCCTGCGCGGTAACTACAGGGGGGGCACCGGGGTGGGATCCACCCAGGGAAGGGATCTCTCGCTTGTGGTCAGCTTTGGAAGGGAATTGGGGTGTTGGGGAAGGAGAAAGGAGCCCCGTCTGCCTTTGGCCATCGCAGCAATACGTTCTCGCTCCTCCCCGTCCCGCCGAGGCGGCTCTGGGGCGGCGGTACAGGACAAGCAGCGGTACCCGCTGAATTCCTGCCCGCGTGCAGGCGGTCGGGGTCCCCCCTAACCACGATTCATCGGTGGAAACGAGCCGGCAGGTTTGCCCTCCAAGCGGGGGGACTGCCCAAAGATCAGTACCTAGGAGCTGCCTTGAAGATTTTGAACCCCGTAATTAAGAATGTACTTTTATACAAACCGACACTACAGCTGTTTGAGTCCACAGAGCTATATTTTAAATAGGGACAGAAGTGCTAGATGAAATGTTCCGGCTTCATACCACACTCGTGCACTCACACACACACCTCAAAACTACCTTTTTTAAAACAAAACCGATAAAGTTAAAAAAAAAAAAAAAACAACCTACAATCTTTCAGCTAAATAATAAAGTTGTTGTTTTAACAGAAGTCGCCATCCGACTTGAACACAATTTCTCTACAACATTATGGGATTCGAGTGATCCCTCTGGCTTGTCACATTTCTTCGCTCCATGCCCACCCACAGTTAGTTTCTGTACTTAGAGACATTCACTCCTCTCCATTATTTTTCATACCATGCGCTTACTGTGGATTCTTTCAGATCAAGACTGGTTACATTCGCATGGATTTAAGTGTCAGATTCTGGGTGAAATGCTTAAACTCTGTTACAGAATTATCTGAACTTCATTAGGACTTTTCCCAGCCCTTTGCAGCGACACAGACATACGGGTACTCGACTCAGCTTGCTGGACAGTACTTGAAGTGCCAGGAGTTTTGCTCCACTCCAGCAGCCTGAACGACAGAAGCGAGGCAGGACAATCCCAAATTGAAACTCAGCAAAAAAGGACTTGATTAAACCCGCTAGGCAAGCGACTAATAAGCTTGTTAAGATCAACAAGATCTAGCAGGAGCGAAGGAAGGAGGTGCACATCATGCACAGTCCCCTTTCCCCGTGTCACCTAAACACGCCATCATCTAGGAAGCTTAACTTGTTAACCCTGGCAGTAGCAGGGGGGAAATGAGGAGCTGCACGCCTTGCACATCCCCATCACCTAGCCCTTCCACACACCCCAGGAGCATCAGCATCACCATTTCTAGAATAAGCTAAAAGAAGGTTTTTTGATGACAAGGAGGAAAAAAAAAAAAAGCCCACCACCTCTCAAATTGCATTCTGTGGAAGGCAGCTTCCTCCACCGAGAGGCAAGCGTCATGAAGAGGAAGGGGTACCCCAGGCTTTGCCACACCACCACTCTTCCCTTGGCTGATCACAGCTATTTCTAGCACTGTCAATTAGATCAGAGGAGTTGAAAAGGCCCCCTCAAGTTCAAGGCAACAGCAGTGTCTCTTACCACCACCAATGTTTCTTTCCTGGCCAATGGCAAACAGTTACCTGCAGGCGAGATGTTGTGCTGGCAACAGCACAGGCAGGTTATTTTTGGGAGAGAACTTGTGTGGGCTTCTGTGCTTTTGAGACCTCTAGAATTTTAGGTAGAAGTGAAAAGGAGGAGGATGTTTCAAGGCTGGTAGATTTCTAGTCACGAATAAAGCAAATTTCGTCACTGGCAGTGGCAGGAGGCCCCATTTTAAAACACGAAGAGATAATGATGCTCAATGATAAAATGGCCCCGACCCTCTGCCAGTGTCATACCTTTCAAAGGCGAATCCGTGCCCTTGCCGTGACAAACGGCATCTGAGGGAATCATGCACAAATTTACTGAGTATCCTACCTCTGCTTCAGAGGGCCTCCAGACACACAGCTCTAACACCACCGCAGAGCACCCGCCCTGAAACCAAATCCCCAGGTGAGCCTGCTGACAGAGTCAGAAACACCGCCGACTGCAGACCACCACCGCTGTAGACCACAGACTCCTAACGCAGCGCTCCAGGCACCCTTACCTTTACCTTCTCCAAATTAAAAAGCAAAAAAACCAGAAAGCCTTACATCTGAAAGAAAGTCACCTTCAGAGCTGAACAGGGTTTACATTCAGAACTATGGCTACGAACCTACAATTTTCACTGTAACTTCTTTCGGAATTTAGTGGAAGATGCTATTTCTAGACAATAAACCATCTAATTAGGCTTTTCAAGCTAATCAGGTTACAAAACGCCTTTTCAAAACGTCACAACAGTTTAAAAAAAGCCCTCCGATAGCAATTTAATTATGCCTGATAGACACTTCGAGAAGCAGGACTCGTGCCAAGCAAGCAAGGCTGCATAAAGATCCCACTTCCCTTGCCTGCAGCTCTGCGAACACACCCGTCTGTACAGCAGTCACTTCAGCACTCTGTCAAGTGAAACAAAATACAATTGCCAAACTAACAATTTGTGGCGTTCCACACCTGTGCTACCTCAAGAGACACAATCCACCATTCCTCTTCTGCTCCACTTCACCACTTTGACAGAGGCCAGTTAAGTTCCATTAGCACCAGGGAAAAGGGGTGAGAGAGAGAATTCAGGCTTAAGTTTCTGTTCTACCTAACCACTTAGCTGCAATTTTACCATGCACTAATTCTCCACTGAACCTTCACTGCTCAGAGTTTCACTACCGCTTGCCTTGTGTTTGTAATACTTTGATAGAAAACCAGAAGTGTTTGCGAAAGACTCACTGGCATAGTAAGTCTAAAACTGTATCACTAACAGTTTGCTGTCCATCCTCGGAGTGGGAGGAAGGTACTTTTGCCAAAAGCTTCAGCTGCAGCAAAAGCTCACAGTATTTTGTATACGCCATTCTGTACACACAGCATCATCTGAATCAGCTGGTCCACACTCCAAAGTGTCTCACAACCATCTCCACTTTTCTTCTAGGGAAAAATGTGGAGAAATGGAAATGTCAGGTCTTACCTAGCAGTGTACTAAGTGGGAAAATAAAATTATGGTTCTAGCATCAGTGTAAGTTGGACAGTTTCAGGCACATGATTTTTACCACAGCACACGCAGGCGAGCACACCTAAAAGGCGAATAAAGGATATCCTGCTGTACACCTGGACTCTGGTGCAGTCACTTCCAGATTTCACCAACACACTCAATCTTTCAGCCAAAGCACATGGCTTATGAGCTCCATACCTCTTTGTACCCAAGGAACAGAGACACGGTAAGAAGAGGTCACATCTATGGGCACAGCTGTTCTGACACACCTTCTTTGGGCTCTTGGGTATATCAGGTTCTGGAAGTGTAACTATATAAAGCCTGAGTGCACACGTTGATGGTAACAATGTGAAAGCTACTTCCCTTAAAAATCCAGATGTTTCTGCCTTTCATACAACACTATCATCCTCCCATCCACTCCTGCTTGGCCTTCTGGACCAGCACCCCTGTCCTACCTCCAAGGAAACACCAGTTGCTATTGTTGTGGAAACGAAAAACACTCTTCAGTGCTACCATTCAAGCCATGAAGACCCAGACAGGCCAGTTACAAACCACTGCACTAGCCCACAAGTAACCGTTTCACAGACGGAGCGTGTTGAGTGTTCAGTTGCTTTCTGCATCACTGACAGAGCATTGTTACCGCCAGCGTGTCAATACCATCTGCAGATAGCTAATTTGGAAGGGTAACAGCTTAGCAGCAGCAAGGTAAAATAAAAGGAGTGTTAGAATTTTACTGCATCATCGCTAATGAAGTTGACCGAGTAACTGATTGGGGCACTTAACGCCTGCTGACAGCAGCGCTGCACACTACTGACAGGCTCTACATGCCCCACACCTACACCGTGTCTTTAATCTACTGAAATACAAGTTGTACAGCTCACATGAGTGTTTGATCCTGGTCAGTATTTTATTCTATCTTGCGAGTGGCAGAGGAAGAAAGGGAGGGCATCTTTTCAGGCAAAAAAAATCCACAGTCACAAAAGCAGGATATTCACTAGAAGATGACACCAGTGTCTGGTGTCCTTAGGTTGTCCAAGACTATGCTCTGAAGATGCTTTACATAAGATGAGCAAGATGTCCAAAACAAGGCCAACTGTGGTGTAAGATGCAATTCACCCTTTAATTTCCTGCCTCAATTTCACCCAGCCACAGAAGATGACTAGATTTCAGTATGAACCATTACCTAAATCATATAGTCGGTATGCAGATATATGTCTTTCTTTAAAAATTTACTTAAAAACTGCTTGAGCTGCAGGTCGTATCAGTCTGATTTGGAGAGTGAAGGCAGTTCCAACAGTACAATAGAGACTTGTCTACAGGCAGGTAAACGAGAGTCTGCTAACAAAGGGGTAACAAAAGCTGCTGGCTGGGCTGCCAATCTTGCACACAAACTTTCATAGGATGAAGATGCTGTGGATGAGATCCAGGATGGGAAAACTGAGCCAACACCTGCT